TGGCCGCGAGCCGATGTACGTCGCGATCGTTGGAAATATCCCCTCTCGCTCACGCGTGGCTCTCAGAGTGGACGTGCATGAGTGTACAGTGATCTACGACGACTAGCCAGATGCGGTTGAAATGGCGCTCCATTGATGCCACGTATAGTAGACATGTATGTCTGTAGGCGTGTATGCATGCATACACGTATGTATGTATGCATGTCTGTCTGTATGTATGTGTATGTATGTATGTGTGTATGTATGCATGTGTGTATGTATGTATGTATGTATGTATGTATGTGTGTATGTATGTGTGAATGTGTATGCATGTGCGTATGTATGTGTGTAATGTATGCATGTATGTATGTATGTATGTAGGTATTTATGTATGTATGTAGGTATGTAGGTAGGTGGGTATGTCGGTATGTAGGTATGTAGGTCTGTAGGTATGTAGGTATGTATGTATGTATGTATGCATGTAATTCGTTCTATATGCATGTATGTATGTTCGTATGCATGTGTGCACATGATACGCATACATATTTTATACATGCATCCCCTCTCCGTTCCTAAGCGTTGGGATGTCGAACAACTAGTTGAAACATAATGTTTCAACAACTTGGAGCTGCATGGCTTCAAGCAATAGTCGCGTGGGCCACACCGTGCAGCTGAGTACTATTGCGCATGCGATCGGGAAAGAAAAAACCGCCGCGGGCATTCCCATCCCCTGTGCACGTCGATCGGTGGCGGTTTGTATGTGCTGTTAACTATATATGTATACACATGCTCCTTCTCCCTATTTGCGACGCGACCGAGTGGTCGATCCCCTTTTGACACGGAGGTTTATACATAACCTCCGCCTGGAGGATGGAACCTGTTGCGGGCGGGCGCACAGGAGAATGGCGTGCACGCCATTTGAATTATGCACGGCGCGAGGCGCATGCACCTTCGGAGATGAAATGGCGCGCCCGCGCGTTTAATGACATCTAAACCCCTGTCCCTCCGCGATGTCCTGTCTGTGCCCGTAACAACTGCTGGACGACTGTCAATCTTGCTAGCCATTAGATCATGACCCCGTAGGGAGCTCCACCGAAGGCCCCAGTGGTGGCGTTCGCATGCGGTTCCACCCCCAATTCGGCACACCCCTCCCTCGCCCCTCCTTCCGTTAATGATCACGCCAAGGGGGGAGGGGGATGCGGCCCCCGACGCACGAGGTCTGCTCGATCCCCAGACGTCCGATGTTTTCATTTTTCAAAACGCGACCCTCGAAGTCCTGATAGGAAACGTGAGTCATCGATCTGTGGGTTGATTTTTGACTGCCCTGGGGCCCGCGGGAACGGGGCCCCTTGAGGACGAAGTTCGTCCAACGTCGGAGGAGGGGCAGCCCTTGCGGACATCGTGGATCGGCCCTCTACCGCATCGACGGGATGGGGTGGCCGGCGCCGTAACCGCATGCTACCCGCACGTATAATTAACTCACATAACTTCCAGGATCTCGTGAAAACTCTGCGAAATCCTATAGAATCCGCGCGAAAAACAGAACCTTCCGCTCCATCCGAATGGACGGCGTGGAGGGTGGAGGCCCAGGGGGCCCGGGTTAGCGAGCCGCTCGTGGCCGCGAGGCGGCCGCGCATACTGCCTGACCCGGGCATGCGAAGACTTGCGTTGCAGCCTTTTTTTCGTGCATTGCTGTTTTGGGGTTTCCGGCTGACCCGGGTTTGGATTGACCCGGGTTAGCAGACCCCCGAAAGAGTGGGGTAGGGAAGTAGCCTGCTGTGACGACTGAGAAATGTTTCGGAGGCACGCGTCATGCAGCACCGCTCTAGGCGATGATTCAGAAGTCGGGTTCGCGGCTTGCTCATGGGAGCCTTCGTCGTTTTCCATGTTGTTATATCTTCTTTTCTCGCAGTCGCACTTGTGGCATAACGACACGCTCAGCACGTGAAAATCACCCGCGGTCTTGTCGTTGATCGTCATTCTGACTTGAGGGAGCAAAGGGAGGGCATGGTAGAAAGTAGAGCACCAGATGATCGAACGATTGTCGGAGGTTCTTACGGATTCCGTATATCATAGCTGGAGGGCACCCCCTTCCCTGCGCCTCAGGCGCCGCTACTTGCGCGCTCAACGCGCCAGGCATGTGATTTCAGGGCCGTTCCAAGGAATCTGCGCCTGACCTCCGAAACGTTTTGCTTCGCCTGCGCTTCAAACTTACTCCGAACATCGTGATCCTCGTGCTCGTTTGCCAGCATGTGCGCTGGCACGGGGCTGCCGTGCACACAGCTCAGGTCTGCACACCCTGCGGACCTGAGCAGAGGACGCTGGCAGGGAGCGGGACAGAGCGGCAGGCCTGGCAGGAACAGGCGGACCGCTCGCAAGCGTTGCGGTCGACCCCCCCATGGGTGGAGCCAGCTTCTCCACGCTGCGTGCGCTGGGCCGGCCCGGCGCGCTCCGGCATGACTGCGCTTTTCCGCGCCGCCGCGCGCGTGGCCACGCCGCCCAAACGCGTGTACCGAGGCCGCCCACGAGGCGCCCGGGCACGGGCGTCGCAGAGGCGGCGAGCATCGGTTCGAGTGCCATAGGACGCTTCGAGGAGGTGCTCCGGGAGGGCTGGCGCGCAGACCTGCGGGGGCGGTGGCGGGAGCGGCAGGTCGGGCATGGCCTCCGACAGGCGGCTTTGGAGGAACATCTGAAGGATTGTCAAGACATGCTCAAGAATAGTCAAAAGCAGTCGAGAACTGGACCCCCTATGATTTGTGACTGTGTTTGGATTTCTTCCCTTCAGAAGGATTTGCCCGACTCCGCGGGGGCAGAATCGCATCGGCTCGTCGCTGTGCCAGCTCGAGCAGTGTGCGGCGAGCGGCGCGGCAGAGCCGCGGGGGCAGTCTGGCAGAGGGCAGCGCGCACGCGGCCGGCGTTTTTGATGTCTGGGGCGTTCGTTGGGCCGGGGCACCTGCAGGCGGTGGCGGCGACGACGACGATGTTTTTTCTTGGTTTGTTCATTATGTTGATGATGATGATGATTATTATCATCATTATTATTATTGTTGTTATTATTATTATTGTTGTTATTATTTTTATTGTTATTATTATTATTAATATTATTAGTATTATTGTTATTGTTATTATTATTGTTATTGTTATTATTATTATTATTATGAATGAATTAATATCGTTAAGTTGTATGACAATGGCGACGCAGGCATCATCGCCATCGGCGTCATCGTAGTCGCCATCAGCGTCGCCACCATCACCTGCATCATCATCATGATCACCATCACCACCATCATCATCGTGATCATCATCGATGAAGTCCTCCTCATCGCCCTCATGACCACCATCATCACAATCAGCGTCACCAACATCATCATCATTATCCCAATCAGCATTAGCATCACCAGCATCCACACCATCATCACCATCATCATCACCATCATCACCATCGACATTCTCATCGTCACCGGTCATCAAACATTGGTCACCATCATCGTCGTCGTCTTCGAAGAGCAGCAACAGGAGAATGAGGGGGGGGAAAAGGAGGAGGAAACGAAGGAGGAGGAGGAGGAGGAGTAGGCGGAGGACGAGACGGGCGCGCGGCTGTAAACGGAATTTCAAGGTGGAGGCGGAGGAGGAGGAGGACCATTGTAGACCCAGGCAAAACGCCCAGCCCGCCCTGAAAACTTGTCTCGGGGGGCGACAGGGCGACGTTCTTTGTAAGGAAAACGAATGGAGGAGGAGGAGGCGGAGGAGGAGGAGGAGGAGGAGGAGGAGCGGGAGGAGGAGGAGGAGGAGGAGGAGGAGAGGGGAGGAGGAGGAGGTGGAGGAGGAGGAGGAGGAGCAGGAGGAGGAGGAGCAGGAGGAGGAGGAGGAGCAGGAGGAGGAGGAGGAGGAGGAGGAGCAGGAGGAGGAGCAGGAGGAGGAGGAGGACGAAGAGGAGGAGGAGGACGAGCAGGAGGAGGTGGAGGAGGAGCAGCAGCAGGAGGTGGGCTTCGGCCTTCTGTGGCGGGCCGTCGCCAGAAGACTTGGCGATCCTGGGAGAGCGCTGGGGGAGGAGAGGCCGGCCGAAGGCGCAGGCGGCACGTTTCGGGGAAGGCGGGGGGCAGGACGGGCAGGCGGAGGAGGTGGGGAACCGGATGGGCGACGACATGAAACGGGTCCAAATGCGCCGACCTTGGCGCGTAAGTTCCCCGCTTAAGGTCGCGCGTGATCGACTTCGTCTCCAATTTGGCGTGCAGCGCCGGCGGCCCGCGTAAGCCGTGGGTAAGGTCGCTGTGCCATGTTGCGTAAGATCCGCTTTTGATAGCCACTCAGATGAAGATCAAGAGGGAGCGGAGGGAGAAGGGGTAGAGGTGGCATTGGTAGATAAAAAAGGACTAGCAGAGCGGAGGAAATTACTGAGGAAGATCGGGATTCTGATTCTCAGATGTGCACTGTCATGAAGTTGCTGTGTACATCAGGCGAGCACGCACTCGCGCGACACCGGCGCGCTGCAGTGGAGGATCACTGCCCCCGCTGTGGGCAGAGCGAGGCGGCGCCGGAGTTCGAGCACGTGGTCCGGCGCTGCGAAGCGGAGGCCAGGTCCGAGGGTCGACCGCAGGATGCGCTGCAGCGGCGCATCCTGCGGCCCACCGGCTTGAAACGCAAAAAGGAGGCGGATGTCGGCCTGCTTTGGCGGGCCGTCGCCATCAGGCAGGCGATCCCGGAGGAGCGCCACGCAAGGAGGCTGCCCGAGGGCGCTGGCACCGCGCCCCCGGGGAGGTGAGGGCAGGACGAGGAGGTAGAGGAGGTAGAGGAGCCAGAGGTAGGGCAGGAAAGGGCTGAAGGGTAGGAGGAATAACAGATAGAGGCAGAAAGCAAGTTTTAGCAGGGAGGAGGAAAGCTAAACCAGGAATGATGTGCATTCTCCATATGCGCACTGTCATGAAGTTGCTGTGTACATCAGACAAGCATGCACACGCCAGGCGGACTTGAAGGCGAGCACCTTCATCCGCGAGAAAGAGGCCGCAGAGTTCTGCCACAAGATGTCCCACGAGCAGGTGACATCGTTCAACCTTCTGAACTACGTGCATCAGTTCTCGGTTGTGGTGACGTCCTATGACACGGACGCGAAGAACAACAATTTCAGTTTCACGCAGATGCAGGGGCTCAGCATCTGTATCATATGGGAATATACCGACAATATGTGGATATTGTATGGTGGGTTGTATCTAGATGTATATCTGAAGCAGGTATGCAGAGAGTTCTTTCCGTATGTGTGGGCTCGACGTCACCGTGACCACAATAAGGAGATGCACGCTCTACACGGCAATGGGCCGTCTATGAAGCAAGCATTGGCAAGAGCATTGAAGGCTAAGCACACGCCGCAGATGAATAAAAGCCGAGTCCTTACTATGCTGGAGGCAGCTGGAGTGGACAAACCCCAAAAGATGTATGATCATTTAAAAAAGTTCTCCACAGAGCGCATGGCCAAGATTGCAGCCATGCCCGCCAAGGAGATCGCGGATGCGATGAAAGGATGGTTGGAGGAGAAGCCCTACGGCACCGACCCACCAACCAAGCCGCAGCCGCCTAAAAAACAGAAGGCCGTGCCCATGAAGCCAAAGACGGGTTGGCAGTATCAGGCCAACCTCGACCCCGCAGACTGGGACATCCCAGTGAAGCGTGGCCTTCCGCAAGATTATGATAGTATGAAGGCTGTACATCTTGTCACGACGGACGAGTTCCTTGAGCTTGCACGTCTAGACTCATTTTGGCAACGACCAGATCCTGCTGAGGCTTTTGGATTTGTCTTGGCACAATCACCCAGTCAGGTTTCGAAAGAATTGTTCGTGCTGTGTGGCCAGAGAGGTCTGGCACCATGTATTACTCTTCTGGACGTGCCGATCATCTACGATGAGAGACGGTATATCAAGCAGTTATATGTCTGGCAATACGGAGGCGCCACGCAGCACAAAGTGGAGCCAACCAGAGTGCCGACGTCAATCAAATGTACGCAGGATGAGCTCATGAACGTCGCCATCTTAGAAGAGCATACCCCCGAGAAGATCTTTAAAGAGCTTCTCAAGCTACATCGTCAGGCGGCATCAGCACGCGATCAGCGGGCAGAGAATGCTGGACAAAAGAGAAAGTTCGACACTATCCCACCATGGAGAGTGCTAGACGCGGAGTTGGCAAGTATTGTGAAGGCAAAGTGCAACGGAGGTGCGGAGATGGATCTGCGCTGCTGGAGTGGCCGAGTCTTCAATGAAGATCATCCTGGGAATCGTGTGGTATCAGGGCTGTTCAAAGTATCCACCGCACGGGCTATTCAATTAAGAGCTGCATCAGGGCCAGACGGAGTTATCTTCCAGCGATCGAGAGCAGGAGGAATTACCAATGAGGCCCTGGATGAGGAGAAGAATACAGAGGACTTTGTTCCGTTTCCTAAGGCCACCACCTTGACGGATGCGCTCAGCATGGTCGCAGACCTGGAGGGAGGTCGAGGGCTTGGCTATAAGCAGAATGGTGCATTGTTTTTCAGAGTTGAGAAGTCAAAGTCAGGCCCAGCCTGGCAAAAGTTGCAGTCAAGGACCCCACCAGCATCAACCCTTTTTGAGATCTCGCCACTTCCGAAGCTCGTCGAGGGTAAGCAGATCGTGCAAGAAATATCCACTCAGCTCGGGTGGAAGGCAGAGTTTGTTCATATTCGCTCCAAAGGACGAGGTGCTAAGGCTACGCCAGTTGTACGCTGTCGCGCTGAAGGCCCTCCGTCGGTCTCCGACCTCACCCTTGCAGGAGTCAAAGCTACAATCAACATAGTCAAGCAAAAGAGTGCTACACCAGCCCCGTCGACGACATCATGGGCTGAGATGATCACGAAGTATGACAAGCCTGAGCCCAAGACGACACCGGCTACAAAGAAGACAAGTTTGGCTGCACAACTGACACGACCAGTCCCTGCCCCGCAGCAAGGACAGCCAGTGCAGCATACTCCACCACCATCGGACACACCGCCATCAACACCTGGCTCTGCAATGTCTCCTGAGTTTCAGAAGTTTCTGCTCGAGGCAATTGGAAAGGCGGTGACAGCAAACAATCAGAAGATCTTTGCCCAGCTACAACTTCAAGGGCAGGGTCTGGCAAAATGTTTCGAGGTTCTACGTTCAGATGGAGGCTTATCCAGTGCTGAGCAGGAGCAGGATGTGGAGATGGAGCGTCTGAGTAAGAGGCTCAAAGACAGTGCTGCAACAGATATGGATGAGTGATGATGCCCTCACGCCGACTGCGAGGGAAACAAGCTCCTGCAGTATTACCTTGTGGTCCTGCAGGTCTCGCCACTATCCTTTCTGCAAATATTACCAGCTGGAATACTTTTTCTGGCCGCCTTGCCCTCATGAATGCAGATGTCCTTGCGTTGCAGGAGACACGCCTCAATTTGAAGGAGCAGATGGCTTGCACTAAAGCCTGTGCTGCATATGGATATAATGCCTGTTTTGGTCATCCCGTTCGCCAACAACGATGTCATGGCGAAAAGTTTCATCGCAGCTCCCAGGGTGGAGTCGCTATTCTCTCAAGAACTACTGTTACTGCAATGGAAAGTGGACGCAAGCATGGTGCAGCCAAGGAGTTGTACCTCAGCGCCCGCTGGCAAAGGCAACTTGTGATACTGGGGGTCACCCCTGTTCACATCATTTCCATGTATAATGAATCGGGTAATGACCCATTGGTGCGTACACGCAACGACAGACTTTTTAAGTTTGCATTCGAGGATGCCGAAGCCTTGGGCGACCAGCCGGTCATCCTGTGTGTGGACTCGAATACGACGATTGCACAGACATCCATGCTATCAGCGGCCCTGGCAACAGGGAGATGGCACGATGTTGGAGCTATGTATGGAGGAGAACCTACTTACGGCCTGGACCCGCGGTGGGACAAATATTCGGCAGGCAATCATGTTACTCGGCCTGATCTTATTCTGGTCAGTACATCAGCCCGAGATTCCATCCACTCATTTCGCCTGAGAAGGGACCTGGGGATCAAGTGCCACCTAGGTCTGGAGCTCACGCTGAATATCACCAAGCTCGCAGAGGTCTGGCAGAGGTATCGTATGCCTGTGGCCTATCCCGTGGAGCTAGTCAAGAAGATCCCAGAGGAGGAAAACGAAGCGTTGGGCAAAGAATGTGTGGATGAGTATTATGACAGATTCTACGAGGCACTGGACAAAGAAGATGCAAATACAGCATGGTCGCTCATCGGACGGATGGGTGAAGATTTCTTAGAGAAACGCCTGGCGCATACCAACATCAAGTTTGATTTCAGGTACCATGGACGAAGCAAGATGCCAGCGCTTGTTGAGCAATCTGTGGTTGCTCCGACGTCGGCAAAAGATCCTGCTCGAGAAGGTCCCACAACATCCAAGTTGCGGCAGATCGAGAACGTACTCCATCGTCTCACTGAGCTCTCAAAGAAGGTTCACATCTACTTTCAGGGTGCAGAGGGACCTCCACTAGAACATCAGCTGAGTGCGCAGCGCCTGTGGGGCAAACTGCGTACTAACATATCTCGTCTTCTACCAGGACTGGGAAGTCTACCTGGCAGGCTTCCAACACTGGCTGAGATTGTATCGTGGCAGTCCTTACTAGATGAGAAGCATACAATCATTGTGAAAGAAAGAAAGCTTACACGTATAGCTGAATGGCGCAAACGTCTACGAACATCACTTCGCTATGAAGGGGGCCGTGACATGTACTCTTGGATCAAGCAGCGCCAATATCATTCACTCCATGCGGTACGAGGTTACCAAACCAATGAGATAGTCACCAGGCGCAATGACATCTTGGACCACATCAACCGTTACTGGAGCACGATATTCAACAAACCTGAGCTCTGTGAATGGGATAAGTTCTTTGCACGCTTTGGACGCTACATCCCGTCCTGCCAGTGTACGATCACCGACATCACGGGCTCCAGGTTGCTCAAGCAATTCAGAAAGATGGGAATTACACGAGCTGTGGCAGCCGATGGCTGGCGGGTCGGCGAACTACGATTGCTACCTCTTGCCATCTGCGAGCTGATTGCTGTTGCACTAAAAGGTATTGAGGACCAGTGGCTTCCCTGGCCAGAAGTCATGTGCACGGGTATCACGTCCTGCTTACCTAAATGGGATCCAGAGGCAGACCTTGCCTCGACATGTGAACCAGATGAAGTGTGGCTAGCCACTGTTGATCAGACACGGCCGATCACTAACCTTTCGCCAATTTACACCGCCTTGACAGGCGACCGTTTTCAGCAGATGTCTCCCTGGAGAGAAGAGTGGCTCCATCATGGAGCTGCAGGTGCAAGATCTGGACACCACTATCAATCTATCGCATGGGAGCTGAATATGGAAATTGAACACAGTCAAATCACGGGCACGTCGTTATCGGGGTGCACCGCCGACAGGAAGAAGTTCTTTGACTTGTTGGAACATGATATTGGCAATCGACTCATGCAAGCTCTAGGCTGTCCTGCAGGAGTTCTAGCTGCGGAGAAGAGTTTTTATGCTGCTCTATCGACACATTGGAAGGTGGCACAAGCTGTGGGCCCTCCAACTACCAGAAAGAATGGATTTGTTCAAGGAGACTCATGGTCCTTGCAGCAGGCGCTTGCCCTCATGTCGGTCTGGTCCAAAGCTTTGGAAGCCGAAGGCCCCGTCAGAGTCAGCAGTTTCATAGATGATGGAAACTTTCGCGCTGAAGGACCAGGTCACGCTGCGAGAACAACACGTGCCACCAGTGTCTCCTTGGAGTTTGACAACCTCAGTGGCACAGTCACGAACCTCAGCAAGACTAAGCACTATGCAACCACGCACAAAGCTGAGAACGAGCTGTCCTTCGCCCTGCGTGCGGCTGGACATACACCTATCATGACCAGGCACTTCATATTGGTAGGCGGTGAGATTGTCTCTCTGGGCTCGTGTCCTGCTCGACAACGCCGACTACGTTATGAATCTGCATACCGAGTATCACGCCGTGCTGGAGGAGCCCCTGTGGGACTTCGAGGGAAGCAACAGCTACTGGCGACGGCTGCACTCCCTAGACTAGCACCTGGCTTGGAGTTCCGACGATTACCCAGACACAATCAACTGAATTTCAGAAGCTCAGTGATGAAATCATTGTGGCACAAAGGAAGGGCGTATCGCTCACCAGCAATCACCTTCACCTTGATTACCAAAGGACATTGCCTCGATCCGATTCAAATATCGACAGCACAACCCCTGCAAGTTGTTCGGCGACTCTTCACAAGCCCAGCTGCACCGCGCCTCCTACCTCGCGCCAAGGCCTGCTGGGAAATTATGAAGACACGTTCGACCAGTGCGACAGATGGTGGGCCTATTGGCCGCATTTTTACAGTTCTGAGCGATCTTGGCTGGACCTGGCCAGAGTTTGATCACTTCAAGCGGGCTAATGGTCAGCTAGTCTACTTGGCAAAGCACCCTGAGGGCTGGTGGCAGCATGTACTTCGAGAAGACCTGCGTCGCTGGGTATGGTCTACTGATCCTCAGTTGTTGGAAAGAAAGGACATGCTTGGCTCCAAACAAGGCATAAATTACCACATTACGACGGCCATCCTCAGGCGAGCTGAACGCAGTTTACGACCTGACGATGAGGATGAAGAAAACCCTGACAGTGTCAAGCCTCAACCACCACTCCTACTGGATGCAGTGGATGTTGCTGTGCCGAAGCTGACACGTGAACAAGTACCTTTTCTGCGAGCCTTGCTCCAAGGAGCAACTGTGACAGGCCACAGACTTCACCACATCACGGGCCAACGTGATCATCGATACTGCCCCTTTTGTGGAGATCCTGACGAAGACATGGATCACATCCTCTTGCACTGCCCGCAGTGGGCTCAACAACGCCAGCCGTTGCTCGACCATTATACGAAGGAGGAGATCCTAGCTTTGCCTGTATGTTACCGACAATGTGGCCTCTGTCCAGACAGACCAATATATGACAATTTCGCTTCTGAGCTGCTGCCCGATGAACCTGACCTTCCACCTCCCCCTCACCATGCAGATGGGAATTATGAGCCAGGTCAAGACGAGCACAGCACCACGCGCGAGAAAGAAGGATATTTGGTGGTGGCTGGGGATGGAGCCTGCCCTGGGCAGGCGTCAGACCTACGCCTACGAAGATCTGGATACGGTCTCTATTATGGAGAGAATCACCCCTGCAATGTCTCTGTCCCGCTGAGGAGCGTCTCACAAGGAGCGCAGAAAGCTGAAGTCAGTGCCCTTCGACACTTTGTATCCTGGGCATGGTCCAAGCAGCTCTACCTCACCGACAGTGCGTACTGCGTCAGAAATTTTACTGCCATCCTGAATGGAGTGACTATCAAGCCTCGCCAGCATCGTGACCTGTGGACGGCTATTGCTACAGGAGTCGCAGTGAAAGGTTCAGAATATTTCCGCATTGAAAAGATCAAAGCGCACCGCAAAAAAGATGAAGTACCCCCAGAGGACCTACCTGACTGGGAGGCAAACAAACAAGCAGATGACAGTGCTGTCCGAGCTGCGCGCCAATATAGTGTGCCAGAGGACATCAGACACCAACATCTGCGAGATCAGCATCGATGTTATACCCTGCAGCACACAGCCACGATCGTCTTGGCTGCACGTGCGAAGCAACTTCAGGCTATGGGAAGAGATACTCATCACGCTCGCTGCGCTCAAGCCCAAGCCATGCAAAATGCCGAACTGGAAGGTGCAGACCCCCACTGGCCTGACGAGGACGCTGAAGATCCCTGGGCTCATCTCGGCATGGACGATGACGGAACAAATGAAGTGAGTGAACAGAGAGCTGCAACACCCTTGGTCCACAGGAATGAGGCTTCGCCAGCGTCTGTCACACCGACCGTGACACAGGATGGTCAATCTGCCAGCCCGACAGCTGCAGCTACGACGATTGCGGACACCCCCAGCAGTTGTCAAAGTCAAGACCGACCTGTACAAGCACCAATGCGCCGCATGAGGAGCAAAACACCGCAACCTGCTACTACATCGTGTACCACAGATGCATCGCCAACGACAACCCCAGCCTCGTCATCACGACCAGCTGGGGACCACGCAACAGCAGCGTCGTCAAGCTCCACGTGGGTACGACCAGCTTTGGATCAGATGACTACTAATCCCCTGACTTGGAGTCCAAAGATGGCCTTTCCTGGTTATTCATGGGACCCCGTCGAGGTGAACCTGCCAGAGTGGGAGTTTGAACCGCAGATTCCAGAAATATTGACTGGCAAGGATTGGTATTACCAACAAGCCTTGTTTCCTGCGATTGTTTGGTACTTCTCGCAGCTTCGATGGGCTGCTGATGACACACCAATGGCACCCATGTCCGTCTCCTGGGCGGAGTTGGCGATCGACTTCACTATATGTACTGGCTTACCATTGGTTACGCCGTCGGAAGATCCACAAACTGCTACTCTCGAGCGCATGGCGAGATACTTCTCGACAGCTGCTACTCGGATGAGCTACTTGTGCAAGTGCAAATTGGGACCACGTGAATGTTTTAAAGAAATTCGCGCCTTATCACCACTGGGAATACGTGCAGTACCTGGCTTCAAGTGCAGGGCAGTGTTTGTGAATCACCAACACACGATGCGAGTATTATACGCTGTGGCTTTGGCGACGACGGAGAAGACAAAAGGCATTCGAGTGCAGCCAGCTTGGGGCTCGGTACCCAAGCCCATATGGCAACCTCCGAAGCTAGCTGAGAACCTATCAACCACGGTGAGGCCAAGCGACATCGTTGCCAAGGCCGCTGCTGCAGCTGAACATGTCTCGGTGGTGCGACGGGCTCATCATGTTACTACTGTCAAGGTCATGCAAGCTACCATCACTTGGACGGACGAGGAAAAGAAAGATTGGGAGGGCCTCACAGGCCGCGATCTTCAGAACGAGCAGAAGAGAATTCTGCATAATCGCGAAGCACGCCAACAGGGATACCATGTACTTGCCCCGTTGAAGGGGCCAAACAAAGACCAACCTGCCAAACTGGTGTGCATCAATTGCAAGCTCGAGTCGAAGGTGAGCCAGCTTGGCTCATGGTCGCGTCTTCTGTGCCAACCTGGGGCACCACGAGGCCCACGCCTTGGTAAGAAGCGTACCGCTGCCGACTACGTTATCATGGTGGACGAGCATAACAAGAGGACAAAAATTCCTGGTAACCGTTGTCACGTTCTCACACATTATCGAGCGGACCAGAAGGACAAGGAATTAGTATGTACTCTCTGTGGCTCCACGGCACCGACCAGAAGATTTCAGCAATTCACTGCCGCTCTTTGTGGAGGGCGTTAGGACGCAAAATCCAGGCTAACCACCTGGTTTAGTCGCACAGCCACTGTCCACCCCTCAGGTGCACCTGCCTGTTGGACTATGTCGCTCGCAGGACAACAGCGCGTAGGGGTGGCAGTGTGACTGGTTTTGCTGGACGCATCTGGGCTGCTGGATGCATGTATGAAATATAGCCGAGGGGGAGGACCCGTAGGGCCATTACTGGTGGCCACGATGCCTTAATCGCGACGGAGCGTGCTCCCCCTCGGCTCAAGCTGTGATTATTTATTTTGTCATATTGGTGGACTCTGGCAGTGTATGCGAGGGCAGCTTTATTTTGAGTTATCAGTTGGAGAGGCAGCTGAGGCAGTTTCTTCTTTTGGAATGGAATATGAGTTACTACTTGGTTGGTTTCTTATTGAGATGATATGCGAGGAGCGAGATATCGGTGCACGTTGCACGCACTGGTACTTCCTCATGCATATGATATTGTTGAACCTTTTGACGCTGAGAAGCGCTGGAGGCAACAGGACTCGTCAGTTACAATGCAGCAGGGAAAGCATCTTGCTACCCTCAGCCAGAACTTCTGTGGATGGGAGTCTGGCTGCAACTATTATATACTCTCTTGATGAATTGGTTCACTGCGGACGAGTGCCAAAGTGAAGGGTGAGAACAAGGAGGAGAGGCCGCAGAGTTCTTGTCCGAGAAAACGGAGCTGACCGAGATCATCGACACGCTGGAGAGGGCCATCGGCCTCCTGGAGAAGCACGCCGCGTCGATGCTGCAGCTCAAGTCGGCCAGCACCGTGGCCGACGCCCTCGCCGTGATGGTGAAGGCCGCCATGTTCAGCTCCGCCGACGCTGAGAGGCTGAACTCCTTCGTGCAGCAGGGCTCCGAGGACGGCGGCGACAACATGGGCGCACCCTCGGCCTCCGTGTACGAGGGGCACTCTTCCGGCATCGTCGCGACCCTGACCGACCTCCTCGAGAAGGCCCAGGCGCAGCTCCAGCAGGCCATGAGCACCGAGACGGGAAATCTGCACGCGTTCCAGCAGCTCAAGCAGTCGATCGAGGACGAGATCGCGTATGGCGAGAAGGAGCTGGCGGAGGCCAAAGCCGGAATTGCGGCTAGCGGCGAGAAGAAGGCCAAGGCGGACGGAGACCTCTCGAGCACATCCGCGGATCTGAGCGTGGACGTGAAGACCAAAGCCGACCTGCACCAGCAGTGCATGACCAAGGCTCAGTGGCGAGGGAGGGGGGGGGGGGGATGGAGGAGAAAGACGAGACATGGGGGGGGGAGGAGGAGGCAGAACGGGGGGGGGATCGGGTGCATTACAAAGGCTCAGGAGTTCGAGTCGGAGGTGAAGTCCCGCAGCGAGGAATTGAAGGCACTGGCCGAGGCAAAGAAGGCCATGGTCGACAACACTGGAGCTGCTGACTCCCTCTCCTACGGCCTCAACCAAGTCTCCCTGTTCCAGAAGCTCAGCTCTAGCACCGACCTGGCCCACTTCGAGGCCGTGCGCTTCATCAGGGACCTGGCGCGCAAGCAGAATTCGAAGTCTCTGGCGCAGCTCGCCTCTAGGATGGCGACGGCGATGCGGATGAGCTCTGGCGGGGCCGACCCCTTCTCGAAAGTGAAGGGCCTTATCCAGCTGCCTGCGGCAAGTCCAGCCACGTTGCCAGCCCAGCATTCTGGGCGGCGATTGTTCTTGTTGGGGAACCCGTCACGTGTGACATCTCTTGTCTCCACGTTTTCAGCGACGTGATCAGGATGTCAAGCAGTATCAGGAATGTGGGGGTGATGACGATGATGACGATGAGGACGATGAGGATGATGATGCTGAGGATGCTGATGATGAAAATGATGATGAGGATGATGATGACGATGCTGCTGACGATGTATATGACGTGGATGATGATGATGATGATGATGATGGTGGTGGTGATGATGATGATAGTGATGCTAATGGCGATGAGGATGCTGCTGATGATGATGACGGAGGTGATGATGATGGCGATGGTGGTGATGATGATGATGATGATGATGATACGCATGCTGATGATGGTGGTGATGATGATGATCACGATGATGGGAGCGGTGATGCTAATGATGATTACGGCGATGCTGGTGCTGGTGATGGCGGCGAGGGTGACGTGAGGATGATGCCGGTGGTGGTGACTATGATGGAAGTGATGATCATGCTAATATTTGTGATGAAATTGATGTTCATGCTAATGCTGGCTATGACGATGACGATGACGATGGCGATGACGGCGACGATACTGATGATGTTGATGATGATGATGTTGCTGCTGATGTTCATGTTGGTGATGATGTTGTTGATGATGGCGATGCTGATGCGGATGCTGATGCTGATGATGCTGCTGATTCTGATGATGTTGATGCTGATGATAGTGGTGGCGGTGGTGGTCATGGGGACGCTGACGACAATGACGATGAGGTTGGTCGAGATGATGATGGTGCTGATGATGATGCTGATGAAGATTGTGATAGTCTTGCTGGTGGTGGTGGCGGTGTCGGTGATGATGATGCTGATGATGATGTTGATGACACTGATGCTAATGATGCTGAGGATGCTTCTGATAGCGATGCTGATTGTGGCGACGATGATGCTTGTGATGATGATGATGCTGCTGATGATGATGCGGGTCATGACGATGACGATGACGATGATGGTGTGGTGATGACGATCGTGATGCTGATGATGGGGAAGCATCATGAAGATGAGGAGGAGAATGCGGGTGATGACGATGAAGGGTCTGATCCAGTTGCATGCGGCAAGTCCGGCCACCTTGCCAGCCCAGCATATTGGGTGTCGATGGTTTGGGGGGGCACGGGAGGCCGTCACGTGTGACAACTCGTGTCCCCAAGAGTGGTAGCGCCATGATAAGGATGATGACGATGATAGGGATAATGCTGAGGATCAGGAGGATGAGGAGGAGGTGGAGGAGGAGGAGGAGGAGGAGGTGTTCTCTGAGGGGGAGGAAGGACGACTTTCCTGAGCTCTCATGGAAATCGTTTCGGCCATCTTGCAAATGTCTTGGTATCATGTGAGACAGTCTTGGGAGTCCTTTGGGCCCTCTTGGGCCGTCATGGCGCCCTCGTACGCCGTCTTTGGGCCCGATTGGGCCGTTTTGGGGCATTCGTGGCCGTATGGTGGGTGTTTGGGGGCCGTCTTGGGCCGTCTCGACGGGCCTTCTAAGGCAATCTTGGTTGCCGCGGGAGGCCTTGGGCCGTCTTGGGGCCGTCTTGGATGCCTCTTGGACACTTGTGGGATCCTCGTGGGCCATCTTGGGACCCTCTTGGGAGTCTCTAGGGTCGTCTTTGGGTCATCGTGACGGCATCTCATGCTATGCTGTCTTTGACTGACGAAAGACCGAAACGGCGAGAATGCGACCATCATACAAACAAGCCCCATGGGACATCAATGTTTTGGGTTTCTTCGGACCTTGTTGGAGGGCTTCTTGTGGCCCTTTTGAACCCTCTTCCAGGCAGGTTGGGCCGTCCGGAGGCCAGATTCGACCTTGGTCCAGCCATCCTGGACCGTCATCGAGGCATCTTGGGTCATCTTGGTGTCCTTGGTTGCCTGTATGGGCCGTGATGGAAGCTCGGGACGCGGAAATATTGTCCTTCACGAGGGATCGTGGCTTTTAAGACACGTTCATGTCACGACCAGACGTGGCATCGGGAGTTCTGGTTGAGGAGAACACAGAGACCATGGCAGACAACGCTTGGCAGTCTACCACGCTTCAACGTGCCATGGGGCGTTGTGGCGGATTAAAGACATGATCGAGAGCCTCGAGAAGGAGGCGGGGGCCGACGCCAAGCACAAGGCTTACTGCGACAAGGAGATCGCGTACGCTGACGAGAAGAAGGCCAACCGCATCTCCGAGATCGAGAAGCTCACAACCTCGATCGACCAGATGTCCGCGAGGTCCGCGCGACGACGACGGCCGCGGCCACGGTGGTTACGCCGACGGCGGCGGCGGCGACGAGGCCGACGGCCTCGGCAGCGACAACGACGACGACGATCGCCCCTGTGTCCGCGAGGTCCGCGCAGCTGAAGGAGGAGGTCGCCGCGCTGGAGAAGTCCCTGGGGGACTTGGCCGCCTCCCAGGCGGCGATGGACAAGCTGAGGGCCCAGGAGCACGAGGACCTTCGGCGGCGGCGGGGCACCGTCGTGTGTACTCATGAATGGCACTTTGGAACCTGGCCGGAAATTGCCACTTTCAGACCGGAAATTGCCACTTTCAGACTGCCCGTGTGCACTGCAGCATTGCCCGCGTTGGGACGGGCGGCGTTCGCATGGTCGCTGGTCAAGGTGCACGTTGGTGGAGTCCCCGTCCGTCGGGGGGCCCCAGGCGGTGCGGCGACCACGCCACGTAGCCTTGGTATTGCTCGGACGCGTGCCTTTCTTCCTCGGCGAGGGCCATCGCGGAGCATCTGGGATCATCCCGAAGAAACCGCAAGCGCCCGACATGGACACATGCACGGGGGATGGCCGTCTGAGCCATGGCAAGCGGGGAGTCGGTTGGGACTCGGGTTGACCGCGCGGTTGTGTGACGAGGAAGTCTCGGGCGATTGGGGCCGCCAGAGGCCCCAGTGACGGGCCTCGCGGCGAGGTCTCTTGAGATTTCGGGGTCACCGCGCGGTCTGTCACCGCACCGCTTCCCAGATGTGCAGCGTCTTGTTTTTTTCAACTCGAGGTCCCCATAAGTCCCGATTGTTTCGTTAGGGCCAGCTTTTCGTCGCGAGTGGTGTTGTGACGGTCTGTGGGCCGAGCAAGGAACCCCAGAGCCAGATTTTTGTTTTTTTGCAGAGCGAACTCCCGCCGTGACGTTTCCATAACGCTTTTGGCCCTCAAAGTTCGGTAAAGGGCTTGACGACTTATTCTGTCCCTCGACTCGCGCAGGAGCTCCCACGATCTCTCCAGACGGACTTCGATGTCCGCAGATGTCCTCGGCTTCACCTCGATTTCTCTAGCTTGATCCCCGCTAGTCGGTTGGAGAGGAGTCGCCTACAGTTGTGGAGGACGGTCAATGGAGAGGAAACATGTTGCTAAATGATTTCCAGATGTGTTCAACCCGTGTTAAACATGTTTTGAACATTTCAAAACATGCAAACATGTTTCACACATGTGTTGAGCATTTTCGTGCATTTAAATCACGCTTGAAACTCAATGATAGCGGAGACGAAAACACCCAACCATATTTTTGTATCTTCCAATTGCTCCCTTATAGTGCTATAGGACTATCGGGACATAGGGCTATAGGGCTAAAGGGCTAAAGGGCTATAGGGCTATCGGGCTATAGGGCTATAGGGCTATCGGGCTATAGGGCTATAGGGCTATAGGACTGTGACCTATAGGGCTATAGGGCTATGGGGCTATAGAGCTATATGGGCTATGGGGCTATAGGGCTAGAGGGATATAAGGCTATTAGGGCTATAGGGATATAAGGCTATAGGGCTACAGGGCTATAGGGCTATAGGGCTATAGGGCTATAGGGCTACTGGGCTACTGGGCTATTGGGCTATTGGGCATCCCCAGAAACCCCCGGGCACCCAGGAACCCGGGCACCCGGGCCTGTCCACCGAAATCGGCCACGCACCTCACCGGCCACCCGGGCACCCGGGCACCGCCGGGCACCGCCGGGCACCCGGGCACCCGGGCACCCGGGCCCGGCCACCGAAATCGGCGACAAACCTCACCTAACCCTTTAATACGCTAGGACCCCTACAGAGGCAAGCTCTGATTGGGGAATGATGGGACTGTTAGGGTGTCCATTGTTGAGCTGAGACCTCCTCCCTCTTGGGGCCTTGGGGCGCAGACGGAGCGGGCCCGAGGGGCCGCTGCGTGCCAGGTGCCGTGCGGGGAGGCCGCTGCTGCCCGGGCCTCCCAAAGCCAGGAGGGGAGGAACAGCACACAGGCGCAAGTCATCGTCGATTCCCTAGAAAAGATGGGGAAACGTGGGAAGTGGGGGGGGGGGGGGAGACGAACATCCCCCCAATATGAATCGCCGATTCCTTCGAAAATATGGGGGACACATGGGAAGTGGCGGGGGAGGCGAAACTCCCCAAGGTATTGGAAAATATGTATTTATTTGTGTATCGCTGGGCCCTTTCACGCATGGAGCCCGAGCGCTCCAGGCCTCATGAGAAGGGAGGGGGGGCCTGCTCCTGCGGGGGCTCGAACGGGCCTCGTCCAACAAGATGGCTTGATCGCCGTTTTTGTTATTCATTGTTTTGCCGATCGGCACGGGCCCTCGCACCCCCTTCTCCCCCCCCTCGCCACCTCGTGGAGTAGATCCTGGCCGTTTTGGGCGCCGGTTTCGAGCAGGTGGGGCCTCCCCCAGAGGACGCACGGTTCCAAACAGCCGCACTGAGCAGAGGTCCGGAGCCAGACTCCCCCCCTATACCCCCCTTTCCGCCCGATGCCGAAACGCCGAATACGGAAATGCTCACTGTGGGCGATGGTGGACCCGTGGCTGTACCGCTCTTGACGAGGGTCGCAGACGCGCTCTCAAGCACTTTGTGGCCCGGTCCCCCGCTGTTGCGAGAGTTGGAGCACATGGAGTCGGAGGAGCGCGCCGTATAGTGGGAAACCCATGCCAAGAGACACCCTGCTTGCCTCAAGGGTGCCCTGGGTTTCTTGGGTGGCGATGGTTCTGCGATGGAACGCGTGACGTTCCCACTCTAAAAATCATTGGACGCCTTGTGGTCTCAGGGTTGGATGTCTTGTGGAAGGTTTCTTGTGGTCGAGCTCCTGCTGTATCGCCGATGCATCGGCGATGCGGTTCGATGTGGAGCCCGACTTTCTCCACGCCGACACGTTGCCGATGCGATCCACCGACCCCATCTTGGCGGACCCATGCCATTCCGGGCGAAGGGCCCGTCCTGGGAGCGGATCCCATGGAGGACGGCTACACCCGTTCATGAGTCCTATTTGGGGGCTTCGCGGCACCATGTGTGGCAGGTTGTGTGCGGTGTTTGAGTGGGGGCGCCGGGCTGCTCTCAGCTCGTTTCGACTTTCCCGTGTCAGACCATGTCGCGTGTTCGTTGGTGCACAAGGTCAGTGAAGCGGCTGCGGCACGGTCGATGGCATCTCCGCCCGTTCAGGCTTATTGTCGTGGTAGCATCAGAAACATTGTCCGCCCCCAGACCCCCTCGCGTCATGAACAGAAGTGTTTTGTAGTTTTCGGCCTCAGGGGGCCCTCGTTGGGCCCCGGGACCGTCGAGAAACGACCCTGGGCGAAAAGCCGGCCCAAGGAAGGGGGTAAACTGGGGTCCAGATCTAGGTGGCAGGGCCGGACCTGAACGCTGTTTTGCTGGACTTCGGCTGTGCTTGGTTCTTCCTTCGTTTTGGCTGGGAGGCACGGGAAAACATGTAGAGCAAAACGACCAACAGCACGAACACAAAACGAACAACAACTTTTAGGGCCAGCCCTGCTCGGCGGGTCCGCGCCGTGACAGACACATGACGTCGGGGGTCTGGGTCCCGCGCTGGGCGAAACGACGGGCGGGGAGAAGGCGGGGGAACGCATCGTCGCATCGGTCCTCGTCCAGCTCCCCGTCGTCGAGCTCATTTCTTCTCCTCCTTCTCCTCTTCCTCCTTCTCCTCTTCCTTCTTCTCCTCCTCCTCCTCCTCCTCCTCCTCCTCCTCCTCCTCCTCCTTCTCCTCCTTCTCTCCACGTGTTCCTCCCCCCCCAGCGCCACGCAAAGGCGTGGACAAGGGGGGGACGCATCGCCAATTTTATCGCCGGTAAGGGCCCGATGGCCCACCCTCCTCACAGGAGCGTGCGGATACGTTATCGGGGGCCTGTCGCGCCGATCTACCGTCGAGGCATCGCCGAATGCAGCTCGATTGTCTCTTCCCCCAGGGAGCCAGTCCCCCCCCCCTCCCTCGCCGGTCTTGGGAGTAGATATTTCTGGATCCCCAGATCCCAGTCTTTTTTAGGCGCCTTCCTGATGGAGTGATCGGTTGGGCTCCCCCTCGTCCTCTGTCTCCTCAGGGGGCGGGCGGACGAGCTCAATCTGCCTCCAGCGCCCTCCTACTTCATGCTGCTGCCTGCCACCCTTAAGCCGGGCCCGTCCCTCTACAGGAGGGATATCCAAAAAGAGTCAAAACACAGTCTGGGGACGATTCGTTTGACTATCTTTGTGCTTTTTGGGAGTAGCTTTTGTACATCTTTTTTCCGTCGCAAATCCGCATGTAAGGGGACCGGCCCGACCTAATGCTACCCACTTCTTCCGACCGACGACTTGTTTGAGTTTCGTTCTGCTCTTTGGAAGTATTTGTTGAACATGTTTTGTCGTCGAAAATGCGCGCCTGTAAGGGGACCGGCCCGACCTAGTGCTACCCACTTCTTCCGACCGGCGAGGCCTTTCCTGGCGCAGCGCGCGTGGGTCCCGAGGGGAAGGACGGGTCCGCGGGCCTCGGCTTCGCCGTGCTCGGGGGACCTCGGGGCACGAGCACGGGCCCCGGGGACCGTCAGATAACGTGCGGCCCCAGCCATGATGTCCCCTCCTCCTCCTCCAACTCCTCCTCCTCCTCCTCCTCCTCCTCCTCCTCCTCCGTCGAGTCCAGAATTCTTTGGAGAAGATGCTCCGCGGGGGCCGCCACAAGGAGGCCCCGTAGAGCTTAGACCCCCCTCCTCTGCGTCCTCCTCGATGCCGCCTCCTCCTCCTCCTCCTCCTCCTCCTCCTCCTCCTCCTGGGCCTCCCTCTGTCCTTGGATCGGTCTCGGAGCGCGGAGGGGTGCAGTGTTAGGGGGAGTGGGGCCCCTTTTGGTGCGCCCCAAAGGCCGAGGTAAGAACAGAGCTCGTGGGAAGAACTTTGGAAGAGCCGTCGGTAAGTAGTTGCGCTCATTGGATCCGAATGCTGGGAGGGAATTCGGTTGTTGAGTTCTGTTTTGCGTGAGGTCCGCACCTTACCTGCTTCCGCGGTGAGGGATCGTTCAGAGTTCTGGTTTCTCTCACAGGTCGCCCTCCGCTGCTGCCGCCCCTGGCCGCCGCTGTGTCCTTTTTTCTTCTCTGCGTCTCCCCGTGCCAGTGCAGATTATTGGTTCCTTTTTGTTGCGCAGTTGAACTGGCCTGGCTGGCCTTCTCCCCCCCTCTCGCTTCTTGCTGCCGCCGTCTTGGCTGCCGCTGTGTTCCTCTCGTCCTCCCTGCGTCCCGAGAAGACGTTGAAGCTACAGTAGCTACACGTGCAGGCCTCTCGACCTTGTGCTGCAATCACGGGGCCCCCATGCTGATTGCAGGGGCAAGGGCTCCCATGTGCTTGACATCGGCGGGAGACATAGTGTCGTCGACCGCCCTGTTGCCATTCTGTTGTGGAAGTGGAGAGGATTGGCCATATGCAGATAGCGAGCGAGCGAGCCTCCTCCTCCTCCTCCTCCTCCTCCTCCTCCTCCTCCTCCCCCTCCAACTCCACGATTGCTCCCGAGGGAGGGCCTCGGCCACAGTAGGGTCCCATACCAACAGGCACCCTGCGGTCTCAGGGTGGGGTCTCTTGAGGTGGGAGGGTTCTTGTGCTCGGGTTCCTGCTGCAGGGTCTGGGGCCCGTGTCCCTGAGGACGTGTTTGGCGCAACCTGCAGCAGGCGATGCGCCCTGTCTCCCAGTGGTTTATGGGGGCGGAAGGGTCCTATGACAGGCACGTGTGAGCAGAATTCATATTGTCCTGATTTCGGTGTGGGCCCCACTTCGAGCTCCATCGAGGAAGGAATCGAACACAAAGTATGTCGGAGGTCCCCACGGACGTCTTGGACCAACGCTGGGCAGGCCATGGCGGCGCCTCCAGCCGCGCCAGGCATGCCGAGAGGGGGCCCCGCCCCCCAGAGAGTCTTCTTGCCCGAGGACCTGCAAGTCGCCTCCTGAATGGTTCGGGCAGCACGCCAGCATAACGGCGGTCCACATCAACAACATCACAAACAATTTGATTTTTTTTGATTCGCGGGTCGAGAGCGCACCCCTTCCGGTCGAAGCTAAGCGGGCCGCGCGAAGCTTGAATTAAACAGAGAAGGGGGAGGCAGAAGGAGGGGCCTCACGTCAAGGCCAGGAGGGGGCAAAGCCCCGGAATCAGGCGGTGCCGAAGACGAAGTACTTAAAGGAACGCCTTATACAGGAACCCGGCGGAAACAAGATCGCGAAGACTTGAATGGGACTACGGTTTCCCGCCGTCGCCTTGGTGGCGCGCGCACACAAGCTCCCCGCGCGGACCCGGCACCGGTGATGGTCCCGCCTCGTCCCGGTGATGGTCTTGCCTTGGCATCGCTCGGACGTGTGCATATTTCTTCTCGGCGAGAACCATCGAGGAACATCCTGGACCATCGAGCAACAAAAACACGGTCGAAACCGAGCAAATGCACGGGACATGGACGTCCGAGCGATGGCAAGTTGCGTGCCGCCAGGATTTCCTAAGCAACAAGGCAGACATGGAGCAGGGCATCAAGGGCGTGAAGATGGCGCTGAGCGTCCTCACGGCGTACTATGCGAAGGACGACAAGGCGCATGACGCCGCCTTGGGCAGCGGATCCGGTATCATCGGCCTCCTGGAAGTAGTCGAGAGCGACTTCACCAAGGGGCTCGCGGAGTACGAGGGCGCGGAGGAGAGCGCCCAGGCCGAGTACGATCAGACGACGAAGGACATCGAGATCGAGACGGCAACCAAGAGCCAGGACGTCAAATACAAAGTGAAGGAGTCCAAGGACCTCGACAAGGCGACGGCGGCGGCCACGTCGGACCGCTCAGGCGTCCAGACGGAACTCGCCGCCGTCAACAAGTACCTGGAGTCGCTCCACGCCGAGTGCGACGAGACCGCGGACACGTACGAGGAGCAGGCCCCTCAAGAGACGGGCAGAACCAGTTTTGTGTTCCCGGGCTGGGGCTGTTAGATTCTTCCAGCAGGCCCGAGGGGCCCACCCTGTATACCGCGGCCGCCAGAGCCCCAGGACCACCGGTGGTCTTGCGGAGGTGCTTTTTGGTGGCCGCCACATACCACGGCCGCCAGATCCCCAGGACCACCGGTTGTCCCGCGAGTTTCCTTTTGGCGACCTCCACATACCGCGGCCGCCAGTTTCCCAGGACGACTCAGGATCGAGATGGGATCCTAAAACCATGCCATCTCTCAATCGGACACAGTCGGACCCAGCACATCGTTGTGTAAGCTAATACAAGGTCATAACATAATGTTTTACACACTGAGGCAACGGAACCTAAGACCTCCTAGTACAACGAAGCGGCGAAGACTGCAATACAAGTGAATCGGATTGTGCCAAGGATGTCACAACGAACAGGATAAGAACATACCGGGCACCCAACAACATATCCAGTTGTTTCCGATAATTCTGTCACCGTGACAGCGCAGCATTCTGGGTGGCAGTTGTTCGAGAAGTCAAGGGGGCCTGCTGGGGCTTCTTGGGGCAGAAGGCTAGATGTCTTGGTTCGCGTTTCCGCTCTTGGGCCCTTTTTGGGCCGTCTTCGGACCTTCTTGGGCGCCTCTGGAACGCCTCTTGGGCCGTCTTGGAACCCTCTTGAGCCGTCTTGGATCTCTCTTGGGGGCCTCTTTGGTCGTCTCGATGTGGTTTGGCGTTGCCTCTTTGGCCGCCTTGGAGCGTCGGGAGCTCGAAAAGGCGAGAAGCCAACACACATTTGAAACTGTCACAAGAAAACAATGATGTTTGCATAGATGGGCCTTCTGGGCGTCTTCTTGGGGCGGAAGGCACGAATTGTCGGCTCGTGCTCACCCTCTTGGGCCTTTGGGGGGGCCGTCTTGGGGCTTTCTTGGGCGTTCTCGGGCGCCTCTGGAGCCTTCTTGGGGCCCTCTTGTGGGGGGCCTCTTGGGTCGTCTTGGGGCAGTCCTGGGTTGCCTCTTGGGTCTGTTAGCTTGGTCGTCAGCAGCTCGAACAGGAGAGAATCCGAACACCCACTTAGAAACCTACGGAACATCACGGAATTGGCCTCTCGGGGTTCTTTTGTGCAGGCTCTCGGGGCTCTCTCACGGGGACGCCTCGGCGGCGTCGCGGGCGGTCTTAAAAAACATCTCGCGCCGTCCTCGGGGCAAAGTGGCCCGTCTTGCAGCGAGAACTGTTGGACAGCCTTGGAGGCATCTGGGCCTCGGGGCGCGAGCCTGCCGTTGTTTGGGAAGAATTGCGGCCTCGGGAGGAGGAGGAGGAGGAGGAGGAGGAGGAGGAGGAGGAGGAGAGGAGGAGGAGTGGGTGGTGCGCTCAGGTGGGTGCGTCCCGTGAGCGCCAGGGCAGTGTCTGGTCGCCGACAGAGTCTCGGGAAGGGGAGGGCTGTGCGCATTGATGACCGAAGTTCCAACAAGTAGTTTGGGAATAATGGCTCTTCCGCCTCCCCCTCCGCACCCTTCTCGCCTTCCGTCTTCTCTCTATCTCTGGCAGCCGCGGGCGAAAATATAGCGCAGTTTCGGACGTTGACATCGCGTGTTGCACCCCGATAGTGTCTCTCCGAGCACTCGCTCAGCAACGACCAGCAGTTTTTGGAAGAGCTGGGCCCGCGCGTCAGCAGACAGTGTCCGGAATCATCTCCCCTTCGACGAGGAGGAGGAGGAGGAGGAGGAGGAGGAGGATGAGGAGCCCGGGACCATAGCCCCCGGCCCGTCTCCTCTGGGGGACATCTCCGCTCCGTTCCGCTCCCCGAGGGATGGATCATGAGGTTCGGATGCACCTCCTGGGGGGCCAACTCCTGACTTTGCCCTGGTCCGAAATCCAGTTTAGTTCGGGGGAGAAAAAGATACGGATACGTGTTGTCCCCCTTCGTTTTCGGCCTTTCCTGGTCCTCCTGGAGAATCCTCGTTGTCACCGCTGGATTCGCCTCGAAATTCTGGTCAGAACGCACCCCAAGAGAGGTCCGGGGACAACACGTATCCGTATCTTTCCGCCCCCCAATTAGTCTGGCTCAGTCCAGCTTCACTCGGCCGAATCCAGCTCAATCCCGCTCGATCCGGTTTAATCCCGCTGACTCTGGGGGCCAATCCGGCGTAAGAGCCCCTCAATGGGGCTCAATGTTCTGTTCTATTTCCGACGAGCCCGTCTGATCTGGTTGAATCCCGCTGATGAATCTGCGGGCCAATTTGGCGTAAGAGCCCCCCAATGGGGCTAACTATTCTTTACTCGTAAGTCGGGCGTGTCCATCTACAGGAGGAATATTCCCAAAGAGTCAATACACAGTCTGGGAACATTTGTTGCATGTTTTTGGACTAGTTGAGACTTTTGTTGACTGTGTTTTATTTGTCGTCCAAGCTCTCCCTGTGGAAGGACACGCCCGACCTAACCTTATTCTTTCCGACGAAGACCTCCCAGCATTTGCTTCCTAAATGAAAGCATTTTGGGCCAGGAAGGCCTTTGGCGGCACCCGGCGTGCTCGCCCTCGGGGCTCACGCAACGGGGGGCAGCGCTGCCGCGGGTTATCATCACCTAGTCCTTTCTGGCTTCTGTGGCCTCAGAGCCACGTGGGGCCGATTCCCCATCTTCCTCGCAGGAGGAAAAGGTACCCATACCTGATGGGCCTGTTTTCCACCACTACAACCACCATAAGTTGGAGGGGGAGGAGGTCCTCTTCCTTCTCCTCCTTTTCCTCCTTCTCCTCTTCGTCCTCCTCCTCGTCCTCTACCTCCTCCCCCCCTCCAACTTATGGTGGTGGTGGTGGAGAACAGGCCCATCATTACCGCTACCCCCTCGCCCGTTTTCCCTTCTCGTGGGCCTCCTGGGAGGCCCTCGTCGCCACTGCTAGATTCGCCTCGAAGTACTTGTCGGAACGCACCCCGGGAGAGGTCTGGGGAGTAGCGGTATCGGTGCATGTTCGTTTCTCCACTTCCGCCGTTCGCCACCTCGGGTCTGGATTACAGTCAACCCGCACAGTCAGGAGGGGCACGCTGCCCAAGGGTATCCGTGCATCCTCGCCTCCTCGGTGCATCCCCCGCTGGCCGCACCCGGCTCGAAACATGTCGACATGGGCGCCCAAGGTCCTTGCATCCTCACCGTGCATCCTTCTGATGCGGGTCGACTGTACAGTCGGGGCGCTGAAGAAGGAACCCTTTTCGTTGGGGAGGGGCTCCGCGTTCCTTCAGTGTTTCACAGTTTGCCTCAGGTTTTCCTTATGTCTTCGATTGTAAATCGAAGTTTAACTTCTGGGAAAAAGGGGCCTCGTTCCGTATTTAGGGTTCCTTAGGTCAACGCCCCGACTGTACTGCGCGGCGGGCCAGGCTGCGCGACGGGGCCCGGGCCGACCCAGGCTCGGGCCGACCCGTGCCAGTGCGTCCCCAGGCGCCCTCCGAGCGGTGGGGAGGCTCCCTCCCCCAGCCGCCCTCCGAGCGGGGGCTTGGCATCGCTCGGACGTGTGCATTTTTCCTTCGGCGAGGGCCATCGAGGAGCATCCTTGACCATTTGGCGAAAAAGCCACGCACGAAACCGAAAAAAACACAGGGAATGAACGCACGACACCGAAAAAAAAAACAGAAAAAAAAGGGGGGGATGCTCCCTCTCTCCCGCCCTCCCGCACTCCCGCCCGCTGCCGGGAGGTCAGCCGCCGCACCGCGGAGCTGGCGGGCCTGAGGATCGCTGGGCACGAAGCAGGGGGGGACTCCGCGCAGGCTGCCCCGTGCAGTCGGGGGGGGGGGGGTGGAGATGGACCCTCCTCGGGCTTCCCTCCTTTCCCCTCTCTGGGGGGCGTTGGATTGACCTCCTGTTCCTCCTCCTCCTCCTCCTCCCCCTCCTCCTCCTCCTCCTTCTCCTCCCCCTTCTCCTCCCCCTCCTCCTCCTCTTCCTCCTCCTCCTCCTCCTCCTCGTCCTCCCTCTTTAAAGCAGGCGCATCCGACGATGAATGGACCTGTCAGCAGGTGCGCCACGGAAATGTATGATCCTCCGATGGCCCAACGGATCCACAGAGGCCTTTGGGCACGGTAGGACCCTCAAAGGTCGACGGATAGCGTGCCCCCCGAAGCTCTGATTGCTAGAATTCTTAGCGTATGTGTCTTAGTGTATCAGCGCGACTCCAGTACAGTCGCGGGAGTTCGTTGGAGATCGGTTTTCCCCTCGCTCATCCCACTCCTCCGCCTGGGCAGGGCTCTCCCTCACCCAGGGCTCCAGAGACGTGGCGTCCCCACGGTGAGGTCCATTCCACCTCCTCCGCCTGCAGATTCGGGCGAACCGATGCGGTCAGTCTGCCATTCGGGTGTCTATATACGTGTTGAATATGTCATTGAGTAGCTTCAGCCACGCTGGTGTTCTGATGTTGTGACATGCCTCCTCCTCCTTATCTATATCATCCGCCTCCCCCCCTTCATCTAGGAGTTGGGAGGCTGGCTGACTGCACTGGCGAAAACTTTGGGACCTCCGACCCTTTCCCAGGGTACGGTGGGGGCGTTGCTCAGGCGGCTGCAGGCCCCAGGGGGTCCTTATCTGATGAGGGCGGCAGTGGTACCCATGGCCAGTCCAGGACTGGAGTTCCACTGGCTTCCAGACTCTCCTGGGCCCCAGGGGCCGACATCGTGGAACAGCGCCAGGACTAAATTACAGAACATATCGCCGGATGCCTGGGCCTTGCGATGGCCAGAATCACCGCCCACCAAACCACCCCAACCCAACCCGAAGGCCCCGATTAGCCCTCCATTTCCAGTGGGGGCGGGTTCGGGGAACATTGAAAAAAAAACACGCATGAAGCCGTACCCCCCCAACCCGAAATTCGGGTCTTCGGGTTGGGTTGGGTTGTGGTGGTCTGGCAGGTAGTTATAGAATTGTGGATGCCATGACAATGGACACTCTAACAATGCTATCATTGAGTTAAAGATGTATCCAAACTTTCAAAACGACATGTTCTACAACGGTTTCAAACATGTTTTTAATATAGTTGAGATATGTTTGAAACATCTGTCAGACATCTTCGCGTCGGTCAGCATCGCTACAACGTCGATCTCGTGTCAATGTAGCGTCGATGTGGCGTCGGTATAGCGTCGATGCGGAGGAGCCGGCAAGCTGGTATGGGAGGCCCCAAGGAGTTGCCGCCGATCTTTGAGCCTTCCAGCCACGCGCAGAAGGGGGTGGGTGGGAGGGGGGAGGGCTTCTCAGAAGCGCCCCTGCCTCTTAGGAGGCGCGGGCCTCCTCTGTAGTGTAAGGCCGGCGCCTTCCAAGAAGCAGCCTCCCTCTGAGAAGCCCTCCCCCCTCCCTCCACCCCCGTATGCGCGCCGCCAAGGGGTGAGGGTCCAGAGCGCCCCTCACGAGGCTTGGAGGGCCCCAGGGGGTCCCAGATGGCGCGGCAGAAGGCGGAGGAGGAGGAGGAGGAGGAGGAGCAGGAGGAGGAGCAGGAGGAGGAGGAGGAGGAGCAGGAGGAGGAGGAGGAGGAGGAGGAGGAGGAGGAGCAGGAGCAGGAGGAGGAGGAGGAGGAGGAGGAGGAGGAGGAGCAGCCTCCCTGTAAGAAGCCCTCCCCCCCCCCTCCACCCCCCCGTTGTGCGCGCCGCCGCGCCCTCTCCGGGGGCGCAGGGCGGCCTCCGCGGGGGCGCGGGGGCCTCCGAGAGGCCCCCGCCGCCCTTCGGGGCAGGCCCGCCCCCAGCATCAACGACGACAACAACAACAGCAACAGCAACAGCAACAGCAACAGCGACAACAACAGCAGCAGCAGCCATACGACGAACAACTGCCGCAACAACAACAGCAGCAACAACTTCAACAGCAACCTCAACACCAACATGAACACCAACAGCAGCAGCAACAACAGCAGCAACAGCAACAGCAATAACAACAACAGCAATGACAGCAGCATCAGCAACAGCAACAGCAACAGCAATAACAGCAGCAACAGCAGCAGCAGCACTAAGAACAACAGCAGCAACAACAACACACACCATTGCTCGCGGTCCGCGCGCATCGGTCGCTCTGGAGACAGAGAGCGACACGATCCCTTAGTCGTCGGGAGGCGTCGACCTATCATCGCCGCCCTTCCCTCGTCGCCACGGCCTGCGGAAGTCCCGGCAGTCCCGGCCAGGACGCACCTCCCCGCCTTGCCTTGCCGGAGTTGCGCCTCCCAGATAGGGTTAAGTCGGGCCTGTCCCTCTACAGGAGGATTATTCGAGAATAGTCAAGAAATAGTCTGGGGACGAGTTTTGGAGTATTTGTTTTGACGGTTTTTGACTATTTTTGATGTTTCCTCCTAGATCCGCCTGTAGGGGGACACGCCCGACCTAAAGATAGGGTCGGAGCAGATGGGGTCGGAGACTCGCTCGGAATCGTCTATGCATCGGCGATTCGGCTCGACGCGGAGCCCGATGTTCTCTATGCCGACGGCGCCGATGCATCGGCAACGCATCGGCGACGTATCGGCGATGCATCGGCGAAGCATCGGCGAGGCGGCGCGATCCTCCGACCCCAGCTACTCGGATTTCATCTGGGAGGCCTCTGGCTGGCGCACGCGTAGTCGGCCCTCCCAACTTGCGCTTTTTGGCCTCTATCTCTAAGGCTCCTGGCCCTCCCAGCTTGCGTCCCCTCCGAAAGGGTTAGGGGTCCTTTCCTGGTTCCTCCTCCTCCTCGATCCTCCACCTCCTCTTCCTCCTCCTCGATCCTCCTCGATCCTCCTCCTCCTCTTCCTCCTCCTCGATCCTCCTCGATCCTCCTCCTCCTCCTCGATACTCCTCCTCGAGGTGGCAGGCCTCTCCAGGCCCCTGGCGTGGCGAACAAGTCACCCCGCGGGAGGCTTCCTCCGCCAGAAGCCCCCCGCCCCGAGACCCCGGGGCGCCCACTGGCTTTTTCGGTGTCCTTCCCGAGGCAGGCGCTCACCATCCTGGAGGGCGAGGCCGCGCTCCTGCAGCGCGCGGCGCGCCGCCGGGCGCGCCCGGCCGGCCGGCAGCTGCGCGCCTGAGGGGCGCGCCCTGAGCCTATGTAGCGCGGCCGCCAGGCGCGCGCCGCCGAGCGAGCCTCCGGCGGCGGGCGCCCACTGCTCGGGGCGATCGAGATGTCAGGCAGTGGCGGAGCGTCCCGGCGTGCCAATTGGCCCTGCCAAGCAATGTTCTAACTAAGAACCTGTTGTGGTTCCCACGAAACGTTCTCAGAACCTTTCTGGCTGGGACTGTCTTGGTTGAACACATCGGGCTCATGTTCTCATATGAACATTGTGTGTGTTATTAGGACATTTGTGGGTTCTAAGAACATTTCGTGGTAGGACTACAGGATTGCTGGGACGGTCGGTCCCTGCTCAATTGGAGGTCACCGGTGCTCGTCGCGCTGTCGTTCCCCTCAGCTTTCCTCCTGCTCCTCCCCAAAAAACTGCGCTGGAGGAGTGAGAGAGAGATGGACACGGAAACGATGTCGAAGGAGGAAAAGCACCATAGACATAAGCTCGTGGCGCTCCGCGCGGAGTTCTTGGATCCGCGCCGGGTCCCCCCCTGGCGGCGCCTCCAGCGCCGCCCCTGGCGCGGATCCAAGAAACCCGCGCGGGGCGCCAAGATTTGATGTTTATGTCGTTCGTTGTTTTCTCCTCTTCTACAAGGGGCACAAAGTGCAACAGCAGCTCTTGTCTAGTCTGAACAGGGTTCGCTGTTGGCGTCGCGCGGTCGCTGTGCATTTGGGAGACGGAGGGCCGCCCAGCCAGCAGCAGCGGCCGCTGCCGGTGGACCGCACGCGTTGGGCCTTGGCATCGCTCGGACGTGTGCATGTTTCCTTCGGCCAGGGCCATCGAGGAGCATCCTTGATCATCTGGCGCCTGGCGAAAACCACGCCCGAGGCCGAGCAAAAGAGCTCAGGGGATGGACGTCCGAGCGAGTGGCGAGTGGACAGCAAGTCACGACGGAGGGCTTCTGGCACCATGCGGGCTCCCGGGGCCCCCGCCCGGCCCCCGCCCGGGCCGCCGGAGTCGGAACACGGGTCGGGTGTCGTGGAGGGGGAAGGGTCGAGACTTGCGTTAAGTCGGGCCTGTCCTTCTACAGGAGGAACATTCAAAATCATTTTAAACATAGTCTGGGAACGATTTGTTGAGTATGTCTTGACCGTTCGGGGGTATTTGATTATTTTGTCAATTTGGGGGGTATTTTTTGAGCTTTTTTCATTTATCGTCCAAAATCCCCCTGTGGGGGGACATGCCCGACCTAAGACTTGCGGTGGCCCACGCTGTGAAGCAATCGCGACGTCGGGGGCCTGAGAGTGCACCCACACCTCGGCATCGCTCGGACGTGTGCCTCTCCCCTCGGCAGCGAGGGCCATTCAGGAGCATCCTGGCTCGTCTCGAGAATCACCGAGCGCGTTCCACTACTCGCAGGGTGCCTACTCGCAAACGTCCGGCAAAGCACACGTCTGCTGCGATGTAGTGTGTCGCAGATCCCCCGCGGCGGATCCAGGCCATTTGCGAGTACACCCTAGGCGATGCTTAAGAAAACCTAAGTTTTCGGCGAGAGTCTCGATTATTCTTAATGCTTCAATGTAAATCCTAAGATTTTAATAGAAGTTCTGGGTTTTTATTCAAATTCTGAGACTCTGAGTTTCTTAACCCATGATTTCTTAAGCATTTCGCAGGGTGTAGGCACTTTGCAAGTGGCGGCACGCGCCCGCCCTGGGAAGGCAGCATAAGACGGGCACGCGCGAGAAGCGACGCGTGCACAGCGAGCGGGCGTCCGAGCGATGGCCTATAGGCGCCGCTCCCGGCAGGGCCCGATCGCGAGCCCGGGATCGCTGTGCGATGGCGTCCCTCCTGCCAGGCCCGCAGGGCGTGCACCCCGACCCGTGAGCCTGAGATCGGCGCCCCCCCAACATACTTATACTATGTGCTCGTCGCCCCCCCCCCAGGGGGCGACTCGCGCACCGAGGAATCTTCTATAGTATGTGCGTCGTGGCGGGCGCTTTCTGGCCACACCGCTCGAGAAACGGTGTAATACAAGATGGGTATACTGCACGTTCGGGTCGGACGCGCGCCTCCAAGGCGTACATTAGTATGTCTCTGTGCGTCCCACGGGATGGGCCTGGCCAGGGCCGCTGCCAGGAATGTGTGGTCGGCGCCGCCCTGCTTATTGCCCCTCGCCCGCTGCGCGAGCAAAAAAGCGCAGAAGAAGAGCCAACCACATGAGAAGAGAAAAAAGAAACAGGAAAACAAGACAATGAAGAGGAACACTTATATCAGCCACGCGCCGAGGGGGGTAGAGAGAGAGGGGAAGGCTTCTTGGAAGTAGTCTGCTTTCGGGGGGGCGCGGGCCTCGTCTGTTGATGTAGGGCCGGCGCCCGCGAAGAAACATCCGCCTTTCAAGAAGCCTTCCTCCTCCCCCATACCCCGTTGCGCGCGCCGCCACGCATAAGAAGGTCGTCGTCGTCGCCTGTCGTCGTCGCCGCCGCCGTCGTCGCCCTCTTTCTCGGGAGGCACAAACATGGACCACGGCGTGTGGATTAGCGACGGGAAGCGGGCCTTGCTTCTAGGCGACGTTGGCGCGTGGCGTCGCCAAACCAGTCGGCATTGGCTTCAGTTGTTGGGGGGTGCTCCCCCCCAGCGCCAGCGCGCCAGGACCATCGGTCCGTAATCCAAGCTTGCGTGTGCCCGACGTTCTCGCCTCGCGCCCTCTGCGCGGGCAGAAGGCGCACAAGAGAAGAATGCAGTCGACCTCGCCGTCGCCGTTCACGGGATCGATCAAGGATCCATCGGTCCGGTTTCTGTTCCCAGTGCAGGCCCCCGGTGGCCTTTTTTTTGTTCGTTTCTCTCTCCGGCGCCGCGCCACTCCCGCCCCCCATGCGTCCAGCCCCCGCATGCGACCATATCTTTCGCACGGGTTTCGCACCGTAGAGTGTTGGAGGCCCGAACCTTTGAACGGTCGGCCGTCCCGGTTGCGCAATCGTTCCTCCGTACCCGTTGCGGCTCGAGAGCCGGAGCTCAAGAGCAGTCACGCACTTGTCAGGTTAATTTCAAGTCGGGCGTGTCCGTCTACAGGAGGAGTATTCAAAAATAGTGGAGAAATAGTAGTGGGGCGATGTTTCACAACTATGTCGGATTACGTTTGAGCATATGTTGACCATGTTTTCAATTTGCCGTCCTAAATCCGCTTGTGGAAGGACATGCCCGACCTAACATTTGTCAGGTTGAGTTTCGCTCGCCTCTGCAGCAATGAAGGCAGCCACGATCTTGGTCCTGGCGGCTGCGCTTGTGGCCCCGCTTGCGGCCGCTGAGGATGTGAGCCCGGTCGGGAAGGTGCTGCAGCTCCTCTCCGATCTGCAGGCGAAGATTGTGGGCGAGGGGGAGAAGTCGCAGAAGGTCTTCGAGGAATTCTCCGAGTGGTGCGAGGAGCGCAGCAAGCATCTTTCCTTCGACATCAAGACAGGCGAGATGGAGTCCACGCAGCTGAAGGCCATCAAGCATCTAGACAAATACGGACATGGACACACAAAAGCATACATGTCCAAGGTTCGTGCGGAGTTCTTGGACCGCGAAGGGCCCCTCTGTCCCCACCTATGGCGCTGCCCCTCGCGTGCTCTGCGCGCCAGGGAGGGGGGACACCGCGGATCCAAAATGTCCGTGCAGGCCTCCGAAAGTTTACGGTCGGACCGAGCTCTAAGATCGAGGTCGGTTCGGGGAGGGTACCTTACTATTAGGTCGGGCGTGGCCCCTTACAGGGGGATATTGGGCGAAAAATATAAAATATCCAAAATATGTTCAAACATTGTCACATACTAGTAAAAGCATGTCCCTTGATAATTGTTTGGCTATTTCAAAATAGTTCCCTTGTAGAGGGACACGCCCGACGTAACCCTAGTGCTCTTCGTGTTTGCTGGATGCTCTTGTGCAGCATTGGGGAGGGCACCCGCGCAGGGTCTGCAGCGTTGCGGCCGGCGGATGGGTCTCCTGATCTTGAGGGATGCCCTTCTGTCCCAGGTCCGACCGTACGGCCATGTCTTGTCTCCGGGGTTGATCGACCTCCTACCCTGACACGTCGATTCGCGAATTGGCCGGCCTCCTACCCTGACACGTCGATTCGCGAATTGGCCGGCCTCCAGCCCTGACGCGTCGATTCGCGAATGGGCCGTTTTCTCTGCGCGCGAGAGGGCGTCGCGGCCGTCCTCTCTGCGGGCCCGGGTCCGTCGGTTTCGGTCCTGGGCCGTTTTCACGACAGGGTGGTTTACTGCAGGGAGGTGCTTGATGAGTTCCTTTCGACTTATGTGATAAACAGCTATGTAGCTCATCTCCAGCTCGAGTTAAGTCAAGAAAACCATCACCATCTCTAAAAAAGTAGCAGAGTACGAATAGTTTGTTCGAACCTAGCTCTGCGTGGCCACCGCCGATCGTCCCGCCCCTCGAGGCCACCATCTCGGAGGAGGTCGCTCTGACGGCGTCGCTGACCACGAAGGCCGAGAAGCTTGCGGCCGACGTCGCCACGGACGAGGCGGGCGGCGCGCACCCCCTTTGGAACAAGGGGAGGGCGCGGGGAGCTCTGTGGGCCCCGGGAACGGCCTCCTCCTCCTCCTCCTCCTCCTCCTCCTCCTCCTCCTCGTCCTCCTTCTCCTCCTCGTCCTCGTCCTCCTCCTCGCAGGGTCAACGCAGATCAAAACATCGTCCCCAGACTTTTTGTTGGCCTATTTGTGGATCTTCCTCCTGTAGAGGGGCAGGCCCGAGCTGAAGGCATCCCCACAGATCTCTCGAGGCGGCGCAGCTGCCGGGAAGGCTTCCGCGGCGAGGGAGCCTCCAAGGGCCGACGAGACATGCGAGCCCCCGCGGGGCTTTGTGGGCCCTGGAAACGGCAGGGCCGTTGTCTCACCGTTTCCCAAAAAGTGTCCCTTGAAAGTGGAAGCGGCAAAAAAACGGCGACCCGAAACGGCAACGAAACGGCTCCAGGATTGGAACCGGAGCTGGAACCCGTATCAAAAACGGCGACGGAACCGGTACAAAAACGGCGTCGGAACCGACAAAAGAACGGCAAAACGGAACCGTAACAAAACGGCCCTGTCGTTTCCAGGGCCCACTAAGGCGAGGAGGGGGCTGAGGAGGCAGTGTACGATAACAGCGAAGGAATGCCTGGGGGGGCCGTCTCTCAGCAGCGCCTCGGGTCATGAATCATGCGTTGGGCTCCAGGCCTTCTCATGGGAGTCGCCGTCGTGGTTGATATGTTTACACCGTCCTCTCCAGAGGCTGCATTGGCGGCGGGTGAAGTATATCTAATCTTGTTTCGTCACGCGTTGCAGTTCTTCAGTGGCACCATGCATTAAGCGTTCAGAGGAGGGAACACATGGCATGAATAGGGAAACAAAAAGTGGCATAAACATAACAACTCGGAGGTCCGCGCGGATTTCTCGGATCGGCGCTGGACCCCCCTCCCTGGCGCGCTGAGCGCGCCAGGGGCGGCGCCGGAGGCGCCGCCGGGGGGCCCCAGCACCGATTCGAGAAGTCCGCGCGGACCTCCGAGTTTTTATGTTTGTGTCATTCTTCGTTCCCCTAGAGTAAGAACGCAATCCGTAGTCATACATTTTCGGAGGTCCGTGCGGATCTCTTGGATCGGCGCTTGGCCCCCCTCCCCGCGCCTCCGGCGCCTCCCCCGGCGCGCTCCGGGCGCCGGGGGAAGGGGTCCAGAGCCGAGCCCAAAAATTAGCGTAGATCTTCGAGAAATGATAGTTACGCAGATTTCCAGAGGAGCGTAGTCAACCCGCAGAGTAAGGATGGGGAACCTTCCCAAGAGTACCCTTGCATCGTTGCCTACGTGGTCCATCCTTGGCCACTTTCGTTGGCCAACCTCGTTTGACAAGCGTTGACATGGCCGTCCAAGGCCCTGACATCTTTACCGCGCGTCGTTCTGATACGAGCTGACTGTAGTGGAAAGAGAGAGCTGGCGCGGATGGGTGCCACGCTTTGTGGGAGTATGCTTAGCCTGCGCTGTAAGTTTTTTGTCGCGTCTCCTTCTCCTCATGCTCGCCTGTCGACATGTGCGCTGGCATGAGGTTGCATACCAGGAAAACCTATATGAGAAAAGGAGGAGGATGTAGAGGCAGAGGGAATCAAAATGGCTGGGAGAGGGACGAGGAAGAATGTATAGAGGTACGTATATCCGACGTGATCTGTCATGCAGTTGCTGTGTACACCAGTCAAGCCTGCACACGCCAGGCGGACTTGAAGGCGAGCACCTTCATCCGCGAGAAAGAGGCCGCAGAGTTCTTGTCAGAGAAAACGGAGCTGACCGAGATCATCGACACGCTGGAGAGGGCCATCGGCCTCCTGGAGAAGCACGCCGCGTCGATGCTGCAGCTCAAGTCGGCCAGCACCGTGGCCGACGCCCTTGCCGTGATGGTGAAGGCCGCCATGTTCAGCTCCGCCGACGCTGAGAGGCTGAACTCCTTCGTGCAGCAGGGCTCCGAGGACGGCGGCGACAACATGGGCGCACCCTCGGCCTCCGTGTACGAGGGACACTCTTCCGGCATCGTCGCGACCCTGACGGACCTCCTCGAGAAGGCCCAGGCGCAACTCCAGCAGGCCATGAGCACCGAGACGGGAAATCTGCACGCGTTCCAGCAGCTCAAGCAGTCGATCGAGGACGAGATCGCGTATGGCGAGAAGGAGCTGGCGGAGGCCAAAGCCGGAATTGCGGCGAGCGGCGAGAAGAAGGCCAAGGCGGACGGAGACCTCTCGAGCACATCCGCGGATCTGAGCGTGGACGTGAAGACCAAAGCCGACCTGCACCAGCAGTGCATGACCAAGGCTCAGTGGCGAGGGAGGGGGGGGGGATGGAGGAGAAAGACGAGACATGGGGGGAGGAGGAGGAGGCAGAACGGGGGGGGATCGGGTGCATTACAAAGGCTCAGGAGTTCGAGTCGGAGGTGAAGTCCCGCAGCGAGGAATTGAAGGCACTGGCCGAGGCAAAGAAGGCCATGGTCGACAACACTGGAGCTGCTGACTCTCTCTCCTACGGCCTCAACCAAGTCTCCCTGTTCCAGAAGCTCAGCTCTAGCACCGACCTGGCCCACTTCGAGGCCGTGCGCTTCATCAGGGACCTGGCGCGCAAGCAGAATTCGAAGTCTCTGGCGCAGCTCGCCTCTAGGATGGCGACGGCGATGCGGATGAGCTCTGGCGGGGCCGACCCCTTCTCGAAAGTGAAGGGTCTTATCCAGCTGCCTGCGGCAAGTCCAGCCACCATTCTGGGTGTCGGTTGTTTTAGGGGGCACGGGAAGCCGTCACGTGTGACATCTCGTGTCTCCAGGCTTTGGAGCGCCGAGATCAGGATGTGAAGCAGTATTAGGGATGTGGGAACGATGACGACGATGACTATGACTATGACGATGATGTTGTTGTTGTTGTTGACGATGGTTATGATGATGATGAGGATGCTGATTATGAGGATGATGCTGATGATGATGACAATGGCGATGCTGATAATACTGATGATGCTGATGATTGTGATGATGCTGATGCTGATGCTGCTGATGATGATGAGGATGCTGATGACGACGATTATGACTTCGATGCTGATGGTGATCATGATAATGATGGTGACTGTCGTAGTGGTGGTGGTGGCGGTGGTGGTGATGCTGATGATGATGATGAGGATGATGATGATGATGTTTGTATTGTGGTGATGATGATGCTGATGGTGAAGCGGATGATGCTGATGATGATGTTGATGATGATGATGATCATGATGATGATACGGATGATGATAATGATGATAGTTGTGACGATGCTGCGTGTGATGATGATGATGATACTGATGATGCTGATGATGTTTCTGATGATGATGACGATGATGATGATGATGTTGATCATGATGCGGGTGATGACGACGATGATGATGATGTTGCCGAGGATGATCCTGGTGATGACGACGGTGGTGCTGATGATGATGATGATGATGATGATGATGCTGATGATGATGGTGATGGTGGTGATGATCATGATGATGTGGAGAGGAGGACAATGAGGAGGATGCGGGTGATGACGATCACGATCACGAACACAATCATCACGACAACGACGACGACGACCAGGATGTGAAGGAGGAGGAGGATCAGCAGAAGGAGGAGGAGGATTAGGAGGAACGGAGCTCTCATGGAACTCATTATTGTGGGCTTGGAGCTGTTCGGGCCTCACGTAAGGCAGTCTTGAGGTCCCTTGGGTGCCTTCTTTGGTCGTCTGGGGCCTCTCTTACGCCGTCTCGGGGCCGTATTGCGCAGGCTTAGAGCTTTCTGGGCCGTGTGGTGGATGTCTGGGGGCCGTCTTGGCGCCGGCTTTGGGCCGTCGAAGAGCTTTGTGAAGCCGCCTTGAATCCCACGGGAGACCCTCGTGTGCCATCTTGGAACCTTCTTGGATGTTTCTTGGGCCATCGTGGGGTCCTATTGGGCCATCGTGGGATCATCTTCGGGGCCTCTGCGGGCCGTCGTGGAGCCATCGCGGAGCCGTCGTGGAGGCTCATTGGGCCGTCTTGTGTCGACCGGAGCCAGAAACAGACGAGAATGAAACATTCAAAAACCACCGAGAAATCAAAGTGTTCGGCTTCTTCTGGCCCTGTTGGAGATCCTCTTGTGGCCCTTTTGGGCACTCTTGAATGCATCTCGGGCCGTCTTGAGGTCATGTTGGGCCGCCCTGGGGCCGTCTTCGAGACATCTTGGGCCCCTTCGCTTTGGTAGCCTGCATGGGTCGTCTTGGAAGCTCGGGGCGTGGACACGGACTTGTTCTGAGGGATCGTGGCCGTGTGAGCGCAGCAATTTTGGCTTCGGGAGTAGGGGCGATGCACGGGAGGAGACGCCGGCAGATGGCTTCGCATCGCTCGGACGCGTGGATTTTCCCTTCGGCGAGTACCATCGAGGAGCATCCTCGATCACCGGGCGAAAAAAAACACGCACGAAACCAAAAAACACAGGGAATGGACGTCCGAGCGATGGCCAGACGGGGCAGTCCCTTACAAGACTACAGAAACCATGCCAGGCAGCGCTTGGCATTCTACCACGCTTCAACGTGCCATGGGGCGCTGTGGCGGATTAGAGACATGATCGAGAGCCTCGAGAAGGAGGCGGGAGCCGACGCCAAGCACAAGGCCTACTGCGACAAAGAGATCGCATACGCTGACGAGAAGAAGGCCAACCGCATCTCCGAGATCGAGAAGCTCACAACCTCGATCGACCAGATGTCCGCGAGGTCCGCGCGACGACGACGGCCTTGGCCACGGTGGTTACGACGGCGGCGGCGGCGGCGACGAGGACGGCGGCCTCAGTGGCGACGACGACGACGAAGATCTCCCCCGTGTCCGCGAGGTCCGCGCAGCTGAAGGAGGAGGTCGCCGCGCTGGAGAAGTCCCTGGGGGACCTGGCCGCCTCCCAGGCGGCCATGGACAAGCTGAGAGCCCAGGAGCACGAGGACCTCCGGCGGCGAAGCGCAGTCATGTGTTTTTCGGGGGCTCCCAAACCGGGTGGTGACCACACCGTGTGGTGAGCTGGTGGGGATTCGGGGTCACCGCACGGTTTTGGGACCTGGGTCGTTCTCCGAGGATGTCTCGGGCGACTGGAGCCTCCAGGGTCCCAAAACCGTGTGGTAACGGACCGTGCGGTGAGGTTTTTGCGGATTTCGAGGTCACCGCCGGGTCTGTCACCACACGGTCAATGAGAGTCCCACTCTATTTCAAGTGCTTTCCTTTTTTAAGGATCGATCTGATCGTGCTGTGTTTGTGTTATTGCAGTGGCCTCCGGCCAGTGCCGGCGCTCCGGGACGCTTCCGTTGCTGCCGGAAGCGCACGATGGCGGTCGTGACCGGCGACGACGGCGAGCGGTGAGGATGATGATGAGGGTTGGGAATGGAGGCAACGGAGCAGGATGAGCAGGATGAGGATTATCATGATGAGGTGGAAGGGGGTGGGGGGGAGGGGCGGGAATAGCAGGATGTTGAGGATGAGGAGGAGCAGGAAGAAGCGGGAAGTGGAAGAGGGGGAGGAGGAAACGGAAGAGCATGACGAGGATGAGGATACTCTCGACGGTTGTTGAAGATGTTCGGCAGTTGTTGGAAAGCCTCTCCCGTGTAAGGCCGTCGCCAAAGGAATTTGCAGGCAAAGTTGCCGCACGCATAATTCCAATGTAAGGCTGCCACAAGTGAATGCGTGAAGGCTCTGGCCAGCAGAACTTATGAGAGGAAAACAGGATGATCAGCACGCACAATTGGAACAATCTTTGCATTCTCAAGATGCACGAGAAACAAGCCAGTCGACCTGTACATGTCGCTCGTGTCATGTGTTCGTTTCGTATCCATGGTGTTAAAAGACCGGTTTCGCAGCGTCGGCCGTGTTGATTTTCATGTCACGCCCTTCTACGCTCCATTCCCAGGGGCTTCCGTGCTGGCCAGGGCCTTCTGGCCAGCAGGATCTGTGATAAAACAGCAGGCGCACCATCGAGCAAAAACACAACAGCGGCCCTTGCGAATTGTATTTGGCATCCCTGTTTTTGCATGCCGGAACGTAATAGGTCGCTCGTGGGTTCGAACTGGCCTCCCCATCCTAAGTGGGGGTCCTGCTCTCTCTGGGGCACCCCTCGCAGTCCGTCTCACCTTACCCTCCCCCTCCTCATTCATCTCCTGTCTCACCCACCCTCATCATTACACCACCATCATCACTGCCACTGTCCCATCATGGCCACCGACCTTCGTGATCTTCAGCACCATCACCATCACAACCACGGTCAGTCGACCACATCACCAAACAACACACATCATCATCATCATCATCATCATCATCATCATCATCATCATCATCATCATCATCATCATCATCATCATCATCATCATCATCAGCATCATCATCACCATCATCATCATCAACGTCATTGCACGCACACGCACACGCACACGCACACGCACCCACTCACAAGCCGACACATCAATACCAAACATTGAGGAAGTCGTTGGCGGGATACCCGTCTGTGACTGACCCGCGCGGAATTCTGCAGCGGGAGCCCCTTCCTTGTGGGATTTCCGCCTCATGCTGGCAATCCGACGCGGCCATCGGGATACCATCGACGCCCCCCCAACATATTTACACTATGTGTTCGTCGCCCCCCCCAGGGGCGACGCGCGCACCGACACATATTGTAGTATGTGCGTCGTGGCGGGCGCTTTCTGGCCACATCGCTCGAGAAACTATATACTACAACATGGGTGTACTATGTGTTCGGGTCGGACGCGCGCCTCCAAGGCGGACATCTGGTATTAGTATGTTTCTGTGCGTCCCATACCATGTAACAGCACAGGTTTGGTGACGCCTTGGAGCCCGAACACCGAGGGGGGCTCGAGCGGGAGCCTCCTTTCTTGAGCAAGTTGCGAGGATGCCTCCCTCGGGCGCCCGCCGTTGGGTGAACTGCGGCGACCGCTTCGAGCGGGCGCCCCCTTCCAATGAGGCCGCCGCGTCATGTGGTCAATCCGAGGCGGCGCCCGAGATACCCTCCAACGACACAAGTTTGGTGATATTTGGGGGCCCGAATCTTGAAGAGGTCTCGAGCGGGAATCCTCGGAGAGCCGCAGAGAGCCACAGGAAGCTCCAGGAGGCTCCGAGACGCCCCAGGATGCTTCAGGAGGCCTCTGGAGGCCTAAGGAAGCACCAGGAAGCCCAAGGAGGCTCAGGGCCATCCCGAATCCCTAGGAGGCCCCAGGAGGCCCCATCAGGAGGCCCCAGGAGGCCCAGAGGCCGTGTATGAGGGCACAGTTGGCTCCAGGACGCCCCAAAGACCCTGAGGGCCCCAAGACGAGGCAGGAAGCCCTAGGAGGAGTCGGGAGGTGGAGGAGGAGGTAGGAGGAGGAGGAGGAGGAAGAGGAGGAGAAGGACGAGGAGGAGGAGGAGGAGGAGAAGGAGGTGGAGAAGGAGGATGCAAGGGAGTGCAGGGGGAGGAGGCCCCCGGGGGATGAGAATGCAGGAGGACGAGCAGGAGGATGCAGAAGGAGATTGCAGGAGGAGGAGGAGGAGGAGGACACCGAGGAGGAGGCAGGAGGAGGAGGAGGAGGCAGAACGATACTCTCAGGCAAGCGATAGGGATTATCATGAGGGGTTCTATCGTCGGAGTAGTTCGTGTTCCCCCCCTCCGAGCTGCACCACAAAGCGACTTGAATTGTAAAATATTTCCAGAGGCAGCGCCGGGACGCCGTAGAAGGTTCACATAACATCATAACACATCGCGGACAGCAACAGCCGAGTTGCGTTTTCAAGTTGCTGGGGAAGCAACTAGTGATTGACGCAACCCTCAGTGTGCACATCCACACAATGAGGATCCATCTATAGTAACCATCATCATAGGACATCGTCTTGCGGTGTAAGTTTAACCAGAGGACTTTTACGTATGGAAGTTTCGTGGCAGCCTCCACCACACACTTTTTGTGGTGGCGTTTACAAGAGGATCCTTGGCCGGTGGTCTGGCAATAAGGCTATTGATTGAAAAGGATTTCCGGGGGCAGCACCGTTTGGCCGTGGAAGTTTCACAAGGAAGCAGGGCAAACATGACAACACTCGAGAAGCTGCATTTTCATTACAGGAAACGAGAGGAAGCTAGAGCAACGTTTGACAGTCCCCAGTGGGACCGCCCGCATACCCAGTACAGCGTTTCGTGCCCCCACAGGGAGCTCCAGCCAAGGTCTCCGTGGCGGAACTCGCATGGCGGCCCAGTGGCGGCGTTCGCATGGCGGCGACTTTCGATTTCCGGAGGTTTCTTGCTGTATTCGACGTATTGAGGCCGCTTCCGGGCCGCGCATCCCGGGCGGGAGCCAGCCTGCTCGCCCTCTCTGCTACGCGCAGCGGACGACCCGCGCGCGTCGCCGGGACCCCTGCGGGTCAACCAGCGCGCGTCGCGGGAATTCCGTGCGGCGCCGCGCCCGCGGCCTTGGACTTGGGCGTGTACGGGCACAGAGGGAGAAGAGGAACGGGAAGGAAGCGGGCGCGATCCTCGTGAGAGGCGCTCCGACATGGGCGTCGACATCTATGCACGTAGACTCACGCGCGCGCAGAGTCATCCACAATCAGACTCACGCGTTTCAGTCTCTCGCGCTCAGACCTATCGTCATCGCTCGCGTTGTGTGCCCCGCTACGCATGTCGGCGCGCCCCTCACACGGTTCGTGGGCCCCACAGGGATTCATAATGGCTAAATTGCGGTATTCACAGCTGCATATGGTTGGGTCATTCGCCAGGCTAATTTTACAATGCATTGATGCAGTCATACAGGCGGAGGGTCGGGCCCGGCCGTCCCCCGCTTTCGCTTTGGTGGCGCGCGCCTGCGAGCTCCTCACGCGGACGCGGCATCGGTGCTCTGCCCAGCTCGTCCTTCCCTCTTTGCGTCCCCCCTTTCTGCGCGCCGCCAGGACTTCCTGAGCAACAAGGCGGACATGGAGCAGGGCATCAAGGGCGTGAAGATGGCGCTGAGCGTCCTCACGGCGTACTATGCGAAGGACGACAAGGCGCACGACGCCGCCCTGGGCAGCGGATCCGGTATCATCGGGCTCCTGGAGGTAGTCGAGAGCGACTTCACCAAAGGTCTCGCGGAGTACGAGGGCGCGGAGGACAGCGCCAAGGCCGAGTACGATCGAACGACGAAGGACATCGAGATCGAAACGACCACCAAGAACCAGGATGTCAAATACAAAGTGAAGGAGTCCAAGGACCTCGACAAGGCGACGGCGGCGGCCACGTCGGACCGCTCAGGCGTCCAGACGGAGCTCGCCGCCGTCAACAAGTACCTGGAGTCGCTCCACGCCGAGTGCGACGAGACCGCGGACACGTACAAGGAGCAGGCCCCTCAAGGGAGCTCAAAAGATAAGCAGAGCCTGCTCTTTAAAATTTTCGACCTTGGCAAATTCACCTGCGTCAGCAGTTCCCCCATCCGCTCGTCCCAACCCTCGCCGCCTTTCAATTTCGCGCGTCAAGCCCCTCGCCTGCTTCGCTGCCCGCACGGGCCGAATACGTGAGCAAACAACCTCCGCCTTGTGCGTGGTCTCCAGATTTAGTCAGGTGGCTCGCCAGGGAGCTTCGTCCCCCCCCCATTCATTCGTTCGACTACACGTAAGGGTGACCCTTCGCCGGAGACTTTTTGTGTGGGCCCACCCGGGCCCCCCGATCGCCGAGCGCCATGCGATGGTAGCGTGTTGCGCGGTTGTGTGTTGATCCACCCGCGCTCCCCCAGAAAGCCGCGCCCCAAAGGTCATTGTTACCCAAGTGATGGCCCTGTTTCCACCACCACCGCCATAACTTGGAGGGGGAGGGGGTCCTCCTCCTCCTCCTCCTCCTCCTCCTCCTCCTCCTCCTCCTCCATGTCTTCGTCCTCCTCCTCCTCCTCCTCCTCCTCCTCCTCCTCCATGTCTTCGTCCTCCTCCTCCTCGTCCTCCACCTCCTTCCCCCCTCCATCCAACTTGTGGTGGTGGTGGAAAACGTGCCAATCACAGGGCGGCGACCCCAGCTGGGGCGTTCGGCGGTCAACGCCGCCAGTGGCCCGGAATCGATCGGCCGATGCCGAATGATCTGGGCTAGTGGGGAAACCCAGGCTGTTCAGGGCTGAGCCATGTCTGTAGCAGACGACGCGAGCCTGGAGTGCCTGCTGAATTCCGCCTTCAGCGTTGATTCGCGTCGATTGGCGTCTGGGAGTCGATGAGGTAGTTCTGATTTAGTTTCGGCTAGCGTCGACTTAGCGTCGATCTAGCGTGGATTTAGCGTCGATTAGCGTCGACCAGCCTCGATTTGCAAGAACCGACCAGATGGTGTGGGAGTCTCCCATGAGTTGCGACCGAAGCGGTATCAGAAACCAGCGCCGACGTCATCGCGACGTGACCCTGCCCTCAGCTCTACCTCCCCCAAGGGCCGCCGCAGTTCCCACGCGAGCTGTCTGCGGCAGGTCGCGTGAAGGCGCCCTCGCCTTCGCAGCGGGTTGCGCGTGGGCGGCTTGCCCAACAAAATCTCGCCAGGCCGCCGTGCCGCTGTGCGTGAGCCATCATTCCTTCGTCGCTACATGTGGTGGTGGTGCCAGAGCACCCATCGGTCGTTGAAAGGAGGCACTTCTGCATTACCAGAGGCCAGTCTACTCTAGCAGCCTGCCTACTTCAAGAGTCGTCGAGTAGGTTCCCCTCATCCCTCCTCAGCAGGAGGCGGGCGGCAACCCAATCTACTTCCAACGCCTTCCTACGGTAGGTTCATGCGGCGTTGGCGCGCCGGCGACGCCAGCGAAGGCATGTAAGGTTGAACATTGCGACGTGGAAGCACTGAGGGACGCGGTAATGCCACTGGACTCGACAGAATTCAACCTTGAATCGATCGGGGCCCCGATCGATCCAAGGTTGAACGATCGACGCGGTGTCAAAAGCGCTTGCGCGCGCCGACGCCGCACGAACCTTCCGTACTTGATGTTTCTGCCTGCTGCTTCCGACTTGGGAGTGCCCGTCGCTCGTGGAGAGTCACGGCACTCCTGGGGCCAATGTGCAGATCCCGGTGCGCTTTGCGCGCCGCGCCTTCCTACACTCAGAAAGGCCCATCGCGCCAACATCGCAGACCGGACCTCGTTCGGAAGACGATAGGGTGGGCCCGGAGTGTCCTGGGGAATGTCATGTCGTTCGGGATTTCGAGGCGGATTTCGTGCGGATTTTTGTTGGGGCCAGGAATGGAGACTAAAAAAGTCCACGCGAACTTCACGTCCTTTTTCGCCCGCGGTTTCGGAGTCTTGTGTTGGCAGAAATCCACAATAAATCCGCTGCAGCACGTCTGCAAGGTCGGTGCAATGACAATGCGTTTTGCGCACCGCGTCTTCCTACACTTAGAAACCCATGGCAAGGCACGCCCATGCTTGCCTTCAGGGTGCCCTGGGCTTGTTGGGTTTCAATGGCTTTGGTTGGACAGTCCCCGCGGTGCCAGGAACCAGCGCTGGGGTCGACGCGGCACGAACCTGCCGTACCTCTAGGGACCGAGCGGCCTCCCCTCGTCCTTCCGATCCTGAGGGGGCGGGCCGCAGTCCCATCTGCCCCTCGGCGCCCTCCCTCACTGTGATCGGGTGCTGCTGGTGGTGGTCCTGGCCCAAGCCCCCCATGGTTTAAGTCGGGCATGTCCCTACACAGGAGGAATATGCAAGAGCAGTACAAATAGTCTGGTGACGAATGTGTCGTTCTCTCCTTCCAAATCCGCATGTGGGAGGACATGCCCGACCTGACCCAAGGTGTCCCGGGCTCCCCGCCCCGTCATGGAACCCCTGGGGCAAGTAAGGCCACGTGGGGCGGTGCCCCGGAGACCATCTCTGTGACGAGGCAACTTCTGGGAGGGCGAACTCAACATCGGCGCTGGTACGTCCCTTGCCGAACACCGGCCAGATCCTGCATAAATGTGTTTCAATCCGCTTGAACCGTGCATTCATTTCGGCTGAATCCCCTGCTGCATATGTGCTGATGCGGCTCAATTGCCCTGTCACCAGGCGTAATTCGACGAGGAAAGGGGACCCATACCGCTCAACTCTCCCTCGTTTTCCCCTTTGATCGGCCTCCTGGGAGGCCCGCGTCGCCACCGCTGGATTCGCCTCGAAATCCTGGTCCTCACGCACCCCGGGAGAGAGAGGTCTGGGGAGTGGCGGTATCGGTGCCTTTTGGTTTCCCCCGTAAAACCCCCTTTCTCTGGAAGACTTCCTCAGGAGCTGCTCCCTAACATTCAGGAGGGAAAGAAACACACAGACACAATGAATCGTCGACTCCCCAGAAAATATGGGAAAACATGGGAAGTGGTGGGGAAGACGAAAACCCAGAACATATGGGAAAATATGGGGGATCTGTTTATGTGTGTGTATTTATTTGTGTGTCCCAGGGCCCCTTCAAACATCTGGAACGCCCCGAGCGATGGCTCACGGGGCCGCTTGGGGCCAGGGGCACTTCTGGCGGCACGCGGCGTGTCTCCTGTCCGCCCGCCCTCCGAGCGGCGGGTGCCCCTTCCTCCTCGGGCTCCTCCTCCTCCCTCCTCCTCCTCCTCCTCCTCCTCCCCCTCCTCCTCCTCCTCCTCCTCCTCCTCCTCCTCCTCCTCCTGCTTCTCCTCTTCCTCCTCCTCCTCCTCATCCCTCCTTCTCTCTCTCCTATTCCTCCTCCTCCTCCTGCTTTTCCTTTTCCTCCTCCTCCCCCTCCTCTCCCGCCCTGCCCCCGAGCGCGAAGAGGTCAGCCGCCGCACCGCCGAGCTGGCCGGCCTCAGGCGCGTCGGGCAGGAAGCAGGCAGGCATCAACACGAGGTCCAGTGCAGTCGCGGGGGGTCAGGGTGGGCGGTCCTCCTCGTTCTCTCCCTTCCTCCCCCTCCTCCTCCTCCTCCTCCTCCTCCTCCTCCTCCTCCTCCTCCTCCCAAGAGCAGGTACATCAAACATGCAGGTGCCCCCACGGAATAGTCTTATCTCCAGGTGGCCCCATGGAGGATCGGCGGATCGTGTGCCCCCAAGACTTCTTCTTATATCTGTACATAGATATCGACACGGCAAGATGTTTCGGTTAGTGTGTCTGATGTGTCTCGCCGTTCCGCCCAGTCCCCCTCGTGTGGGGGTGGGGAGGCTGGCTGGCTGCATGCTGCAGTGGAGTAAACTTCCAGAGGTCCGCGCGGATTACCTGCACTTGCGTTGGACCCCCCCGGCGGCGCCTCGCAGGTCTGAGAAAGCCGCGCGGACCCCTGCGAGTAGATGTTCTCTTTCCCGCATTTTCAGGATCTGTAGTTTCCAAGGGTGCCCTTGCATTCTTGCCTCCAGCCCGTGTCCATGGGCATTCAGCCTTGGCTTCAATCTGTCTGCAAGTAGGCCTGGCATTGTCACCGCACATTCATGTCTTGGGGAACCTCTCCTGGGGTGCGCTCTGACCCGGAGTTCCACGCGAATCGATCCGTGGCGGCAAGGGAAGGGCAGCGGTATGGTACCTCCACACATCCAGCGGCATGGTGTTGTGCCGTGCGCGGCCCCAGAGGTCCCCACCCTCCCTGCGGGCCAGCCTCGCGGCAAAGAGCTGCGCTTGATGGCCCAGGGGCACCGGCAACGGGCCCCGGAGGCCGAGGTCGAGGGAACATGGTCGGACTGAAAACATCCGATCGTCGGACGTTTGTGAGGGCATGAGTTGTAGCCCTATCCAGTGCGTCTTGGAATTTATGTGTGGATGGGGCGCCCCAAGGCCGAGGCACACTGGATATGGATTAAGGGTCGAGCCTCTGTTGGCCAGACCTTCATCCATGCCCAGCTCGCCTTGGGTTTCTGTGGAAGAGCGCCACAAACTGCAAGCGGCAGTGGATCTGGGCACAAGCAATGCCCGCAGTATGGGTGGTGCCCCGCCTCTGACCGCTAGGATCCGGTCGCACCGTGTGCCGCTTTGTCAGACAGGCCCGAGCTCAGGAATTCTCGCTTTCAGCCGAGCCTGTCCCTCTACAACAGGAGGAATCTTCAAAAATAGTCAACAAAATAGTCTCGGGACGATTTGTTGGGTGTTCTTTTTTGTATTTTTGATGTTTTGGGAGTTTTGTGTTTCATCCAAAATCCCCCTGCAGGGAGACATGCCCAGCCGAAGCCCAAGCTCAGGAATTCTCGCTCCAGGGACCGCTCCAGGGACCGCTCTCGGAACCTTCTGGGGCGTTCTGAAACGGCCGCGGCGCCCGAGACGTCCTCCGGAGAGATCTCCGGTGCGACCCGATCTGGTGTCGTCCCGCTCCCGGCTTTGGCTTGCGCCTTCTGTCCTTGGCGGGCGCGTAAAAGAGAGGGGGGCGATGAATTCGGGGGGCGGCGAGGGCCTGCGCGGCTGCAGAAGAGGGGCCCGGCAGGGCTCCTCGAGGGCCCCTTGAAGGCCCCAGAGGGGGTCTTCAGGGTCTGAAAAAGGACACCTTCCCCCCCCCGACGTATCGCCCATCCCTTGAATTTGCGCCCAATGTTCATCAAGAACAAAAGAACCGCGAAGCCCAATAACTTCTCTTTGCACTCACTGGCCAATAACCCAGCCCCTTTTGCCCAATCACACGTCATCAGAAGACGCGGCCTGAGGCCCCCCGGCTTGGCACGAGGGATAGCACATGTGGACGGCTTGGCTCGATACATCTGCAGCCAGATGTCCCCCCCCCCATCCAGGGCCCTCCTGGCTTGCGTCCCCCCCAAAGCGTTGGGGTCCCTGCCCCTGCTCCCGGCGAAGGCGTCTGCACACCACCGCCGGGCCTGGCCGGGGCCATCCCCTGGGCCCTTTGGCATGGTGCACAGGCCCTTTTGGCCTCGGCCCTTTGGATGGTGTGCAGACCCTTTGGATGGTGTGCAGGCCTTTTGGATGGTGTGCAGGCCCTTTGGCCTTTGGCATGGTGTACAGGCCCTTTGGCATGGTGTGCAGGCCCTTTTGGCCTCGGCCGGGCGGGCGTGCGCACCGTGCCCGGGGGCACAGGCTGGCCCTGGCCGGCCACGGTGGTGGTGTACGGATGTAAGTCGGGCTTGTCCCTCTCTAGGAGAAATCTCCGAAGATAGGCAGGAAACAGTCTGGGGACCAGTTTTGAAGTATTTGTTTTGGCCATTCTGAAGTATTTCTTTAGTACTTTTCATTTTTCGCCCAGAATCCCCCCTGTAGGGGGACACGCCCGACCTAAGTATCATTAGATGCCTTCTGTGCATGGTTACGTACTCGACTGCCCTTGCCTTACGATGTCCCAACCTATTCTAGCCTTGGCCATCAGAGAGAATCTCCAGCGTCAGAAAATGACACCGAAACTCAAAGGTTTTCACGTGTCGGGCCCTGGGAGACACTCGTCCGACACTGTGTCGACACCGTTTGGACACTCGTTCGACACTGTTCTGGGTACTCGAAATTATGTCTGGGATGTGGTCCTGAAGTACGATGGGAGCAACAGAACCCTTGCCGAGGCAGGCGCTCACCATCCTGGAGGGCGAGGCCGCGCTGCTGCAGCGCGCGTCGCGCCGCCAGGCGCGCCGCGCGGGCCGGCAGCTGCGCGCCTGAGGGCTCGCGCCCCCGCTCGGGCCGCCGCAGGGCGCGCGACGCCAACGCCTTCGGCGCGAAGTCGGTGTCCGAAGATAATCGAAATATCGCCTGGGGACGATTGTTCTATGATTTGTGGGTTATGTTTTAGGATGTTGCTGCTATTTGTCGTGCAGTCGGGGCGCTGAAGAAGGAACCCTTTTCGTTGGGGAGAGGCGTTTCTCGATTGCTTCACTGTGTGCCTGGGGTTTTCCTGAGGTTTCCCATGGGGAATCGAAGTTTAGCTGTTGAGAAACAGGGGCCTCGTTCCTTATCTAGGGTTCCTTAGGTCAACGCCCCGACTGCAGCCTTTCCTCCAGAATCCGCCTGTAGGAGGACAGGCCCTCTCATTATTCTTCTTCTTTCTATTATGATTATTCTTCTTCTGATTATTCTTCTTAATCTTATCATTCCTATGTTTATTGTTACCTAGTTTTAGTGGGCGGGCGCCGACTCTGCGCCTGCACGGGTCCCTGTCCCGGCCAAGGCGGCGCATGGTTCGCCACACGGAGCTGTGCACAGACGCCCTCCAAGGGATGGCCTTTCGGGGCCTCGGAGGAGGGCGGCGACGCACAGATCACCATTGCAGGCCAGCGTCTGTGTACACCGCCGCCCTCCGTGAAGCTGACGTGCAAGAGTCGTCGGTGGGTGTCAGTGTATACATTTCCAGATGTGTACACATGTATGTATGTATGTATATATATATATATGTATTTATAGATGTTCACATATGTATGAATATGTTTATATAGATATGTATATATACATATATATACACACAAGACTGCATTGGCGCTGCGCGCCATGCACCTTGGTCCTCTGAGTTCCGGACGCAGGCGGAATGCGTGCGTGCGTACATGCGCGGATGCATGTATACACGCGCACGCGCATGCACGTTCCGTATATACGTCTAGGTGTATACAGTATACTTACAGTGTTCTATGTGTGTATACAGCGTAGAGATGTACATATAATGTTATGTGTGTAAGGGTATGAACATGTATATGCAAATCGTACGTGCTTTGTCGGTGCACGCCCATATGTAGATGTATGTATATCTCTCTCTATATATATGTATGTATAGGGTTCGCATACACATGCGTATCTCAGGCGGTAGTGGCCTGACCAGTTGCTCAGGGAGCAATCAGACATGACCATGCCATGGGAGCAAAATCAATGAATGTTGGCATTCGGAAACATCGTGGGGTTGTTTTCGGGGCCCTCGTGGGCCGTTTTGGCACCTTCATGGGCCGTCCTGGGGCCTTCTTGGGCCGTCTCGGGGAGCTTGGGCCCGCTGGAGCCCCCTTTGGACCCATCTTGGGCACTTCCGGGGACCTCCCATGGCCCTTTTGGGTCTGTGCTGGGAGCCCTTGGGGGGCCTCTTGGGTCCATTATGGGCTGTCTTGGGGCTCTCGTGGGCGATCGTGGGGCCCGGCTCGGCCGTCTTGAAGCTTTCTTGGGGGCCTTTTAGGGCGTCTTGAGGCGATCTCGGGGGCTTTGAAGCCGTCTTGAAAGCTGAAGAGATCTGAATGGCGAATATGCTAAAATTGCAAGTTTTACAAAGGGAATGAGACGATTTTTGTGTTTTGAAGGCCCCTTGGACAGCTTTTTGGGGTGCCTTGGGGGTCTTTTGGGCCGTCCTGAAGCAATTGGGGTCCCTCTTGGAGCGCTCTTGTGCTGTCTGGGGCCTCCCTTGAGCCTTTCTGATGACCCCTCTGATCGCTCTGGGTCTGCTGGCAAGGCGTTTGTGGAGACCCGGAAATCCGGGTGACCTTTTCCAAGGACGTCCCAAGGAGCCCCAGAACCCCAGATCCCTGGGATCCAGTTTTGTTTTTGGGGGGGGGAGGGTTCCCCCCCCCCCCTGCAAAAATATAGGAAGAGGAAATGTATGTATACGTATATATATATAGAGAGAGATAGATATGTGTATGTGTTCGTGGCGGGCATGGGGTAGCACAAGAAACAAGCCTGTGCTTCTTCCTGGTGTTCAACACCCGCGGGCCCTCGCTGGGCCCCGGGGCCGTCCAGAAAGCCACCCATCGGCGGCACCGCAGCGGGTGCTCACCAACGGGTACTTTGGAGATGTGCCGAAAGTTGCCGCTCTAAGTCAGGAGGGAAAAACACACACAGACACAATTAATCGTCGCTTCCCACGAGAATATGGGAACATGTGGGCAGTGGGGGGGCAGACAGAAACCCAGAAAACATCTGGAAATGTTGGGACTCCTGTTATTTGTGTGTGTATGTCTTTGTGTGTCCCAGGGCCCCTTCATTAAGGCCCCTCTCTGGCATGGCAGCGTTGACCACATCGGGGAGGGTTGGGTTCGCCGGGCCACTGGCCAAAGCACCCGCTGGTGGAGTCCCCGTTCGAGGGGCGCCGGGCCCAGAACGAGCAGTCGGTCACGGGGAGTGGTCCGGGGCTCCGGGGACGAGGTCTAACGTCCGCTTGACAGGGAGGATCGGGGGCCCCAAAACGGTGTGGTGACCACACCGTGCGGTGAGTCTGTGGGGATTCGGGGTCACCGCACGGTTTTGGGACTCGGGTCGTTCTCCGAGGACGTCTCGGGCGATAGGGGCATCCGAGGTCCCAAAACCGTGCGTTGACGGACCGTGCGGTGAGGTCTTGGGGGATTTCGAGGTCACCGTACGGTCTGTCACCGCACCGTTTCGGGACTCCAAAGAGGAGGGGGGAGGGAGGAGGGAGGAGGGAGGAGGGAGGAGGACCTCGCATGGACGAAGACCAAGGCGTCGGACGTGGGTACACACGGGGCCAAGGATCGGGGCGCATGGCTTCCTGGGTCGTTGCAGGCACAGGACCATCCTGGGCCCAGGAGGGGTCTGGCCAGGGTCGTTGCAGGCACACTGGTGGCGCCCTCCTGATCATCGCCCCGCTCCCGCTGCGCGTGCAAAGAGCGGTGAAGAAAACGAATCAGTAGAAGAAGAAGGAGAAGACGAAAAGCATCAGAACGGGGTCGTCATCGTCGCTCTTTCTCGAGGAGGCAGAAACATGGATTTAGGATTTAGGCGCGAGGATTCGTGACTGGCGACGGGCTTCAGTTCCAGAAGAAATCGACCCGCGCTGTCGCCGAATCAGTCGGCAATCGTTCCATGTTTCGGGAGGGGATTTTCCCCCGCGCCAACGCGCCAAGTCTACTGATCCATACAGTGGAGACCTATGCCAAAAAATACCCTGCTTGCCTCCAGTGTGCCCTGGGGTTTTTGTGTTTCGATGGTTTTTCGATGGAGAGCGTGACGTTCCCACATCAAAGATCAATGGACGTCCTGGGGTCTCAGGGTTGGATTGCTTGTGGAATGTTTCTTGTGGACTGGCCTCCACTGTAATCAATGTTTGCACGTGCCCGACGTTCTTGCCCCGAACACTTTGTGTGATTTTTTCTCCTCGCGTATCCCAGCCAGCCCATTAAGATAACCTGTTCGTGAGAGCTGACGGGGCAAGAGACGAACCGACACCTTCATTGAAACAGAGCTCGGAGGATCCATGGAGAATGGGGGCGAGGGGAGGAGGAGGAGGAGGAGGAGGAGGACGAGGACGAGGACGAGGACGAGGAGGAGGCAAACCGCCTCTTGGGGCCATCGTGGGACGCTCTTGGGGCCGTCCTTTGGCCCTCTTGGGAGTCCTGCAGGGCCTTTTGAGGCCATCTTGGAGGCGATCGATCGAAGGAAAGGGGGGTGTCTGACGATTTCACCCCCCTCTGGGGCCCTTGAAATCGCCTCTCCGAGCACTCTTGGGCCCTTCTTGGGCGCTCTTGGCGCCGTCTAGGGGGCCTCTTGGGCCCCTCTTGGGCCTCTCTTGGGCCATCTTGGTGCCATCGTGGGGCCTCAGAAGCGCATCGGAAGCGAAAATGCGAGAATGCAACAGTCATTGACTTCTTGTATGTCATGTTTAAACTGCTCTCGTATGGCGGGTCCTGAAGGGGCTCCGAGAGCACTTGGACTCGTATTGTGGCCCTCGTCAGGACTTTCGGAGGTATGTGGGCAGCTATCTTGAACCATCTTCGGTTATCTTGAGCCACCTTGGAGGCCATCTTCGAGTATCCGAGGCCCTCTCAAAGCCACCTTGGGGGAAATATTACCCACTGCCACCTCGGTGCGCGTCCGAAAACATCTCAGGGAGGGGAGGGGGAGGGTACCTCTCCTCGAAGGAAAGACTGTTTTGGAAGAGGGGACTCAGGCATCGCTAAATCACCTTAGCCCAAAGGGCTGGCGGGATAAGAAGAAGGCGAAGAAAAATGAGGCGGTCGTCGTCGTTGTCGTGACGGGTCATGGGCTCGATCGAGGATTGGTCGAGGATCGATCGAATGAGTCGTTTCCCATATCTCGGCTCTGGGACCCGTTTTTCTGTCGGGTCCGGTGCTATCAAGACTGGGCCCGTGATCCGTTGTGTCTCGCGCCGGGCCCGCCGGGCCCTGGCGTCCGACTTGGCCTCCATGCCTCCGTCTGAGCCGCCTCTCGATCTTCTCCGTTCCGATCTTTCCCTCCCCCTCCTCCTCCTCCTCCTCCTCCTCCTCTCCTCCTCTTCTTCTCCTCCTCCTCCTCCTCCTCCTCCTCCTCCTCTGCCCCTCCTCCTCTGCCCCTCCTCCTCGTCCTCCTCCTCCTCCTCCTCCTCCTCCTCCTCATCTTTCTCCCCCACCTCCTCCTCCCTCCTCCTCCTTATCCTTCTCTGCCCCTCCCTCCTCCTCCTCCTCCGCCTCCTCCTCCTCCTCCCTTTCCTCCTCCTCCTCCTCCTCCTCAACTCCTCCCCCTCCTTCATGCGTGGCCCTTCCCAGTCGTCCGCCCTCGCGGTTCGCCTCCGTCCCGCCCTGCGCCTCCCGTGCTCAGAAGCCGCGTCGTTCCGCGCCCCTGCTTGCAGCTATGACCGCGGGGAGCGACCGCCGGCGTTGCGGCCGAGAAGTCCCCCCCCCCACCCAGTCCTCTACCCTCGCGGTCCGCCTCTCCCCCATTCCCCCCATCCAGCCTTCCCC